TTCTCTTTTGAATTCTCTTTCGGGCAGGTATTCCTACTGTGGATGGGAATGGGCATCAATCGAAAGGACCTGTACCGGGACCTGCCAACAATTCGGTATTCCCTCCAGTATTGAAGGATGAATCTCCCTCTACACATATCCTTCGCTACATGGATGGAATTACCAAGCGGGTCCAGAAGCTGCAAGAAGCTTGAACGGATTAATACAACCAACATATTATGACAAGGTCCTTCTGTATGGATACCTCCCAACCTAGAACCATTAAAGGAATAGTGGATTGATATTATATTTTAGTGTTTATGTATTTTTTTGAATTAGATTTGGATCCCAACTTTTGTTCAACCCTTTTCTGTGCCAATACTCTTATCACTTAATCATGTTCAAAATGGGGACTGCTGAGGATGTGAAAATGAAGTACGAAGCCATCCCGGAGGGAGACCGCACTGTTGCCCACATGGGGTCCCTTTGAAGCCCTAGATATCCCTAGATGACTTTCTTATTGTAAATGGTATTAGCCACATACCAACAACCCTGTTCTCCTTTACTGGGTCCCTGGGTGGTTTAAATCTTAGGTACATCGGAAAGCTGGAGGAGAAGGCCAAATCGTTTGATCCCATTTTCGAAAAGCTCAACGACCTCTATTCATCTGGTGCTGTCGAAGGTTACACCAATGAGAATCTTGTCTTAAATAAGATCTATGCTTTCATGGAAGCATATATATATATATGTTCCAACAAACTGATAGAAAGTACTCTCAAACATCCCAAACTGCGCTGCCAGCCATTAGGTATTATATTTGCATTTTTTGCAAAGATTTGTGTTCCATAAAGCCTTCTGGGGCCCCCCATTCACTAGGAATGAAACTGCAATCCGGGACTTGTACAAGAGTGCTACGAAGCTGTCAAGCCCTCAGCTTTCCCAGGTCCCTTTAAACAAAAAGAAATGGGAAAAATCGTAGAAACATGTGAAGACATTGGCATGACACATGAATGATCAAAAGGAATGAAAAGAGTTCTCTAATGATCATGTTGTCAACCGTCCCTGGCCGCTCAGGGCCCAAGAGTCATTGACCCTGGAGAGCCGGCAGAAGGGCATCCCTCTCCCAAAATCAAAGCCAGGGGCTCCAAAGGCGAAGCCAAAGGCAGGCGCCAAGGCAAAGGCAGCAGCCAATCCTGATGCGGATGGAGCTGAGCCCAAGGCAAAGGCAAAGGCGAAGGTTCAGACCCGTAGGCCCAAGTAGGATGACTTATAGCTTTTTGGCTATAAAAGTAGGGGATCTGCTAGAATCAGTGCTCTGGTCCATGTGGTGACAGGCATACCCCCCTCAGAATTGGCTTAGTGCTAAAACATTATTCTATAATTCTATATGATTCTATACGAGTCAAGTTGGCCATGCACTGCAGTGCAGAGTTTTTGACAGGGTCAGCTGCATACTCAGTTGACCTTTTGAGACAGCTGGGCAGGGTCTTGGCACCCTTCACCGTTCGATCCTTGTGCCATGACGAAAATAAGACTTTGTGTGTATGCACCTTGAGTTTGAAGAATCCTACTTACCAATTTCTCAGCTACATACCCCAAGAATAAAAGCCAGCAATGAGGCACCCTTTCTTCAGGACATATGTATTTCAATACTTATTGGCTATGTTTACAGGTACAGGAGTAGTAGATGTAAGTTCTTTCAAAGCTGCCTCAAGTGGAACTGATATATGTTTTATGAATATCAATTAGTGACATCTGCTGCCAGGTGAGAATGACCAAAGTGCTCTGTTGAGAAACCTTGCGTTCTCAATGTCAGATGGGGTCAGCAACTCAAATCCTCCAGGAATATGGGAAATTTATGGAAATTTGCTCTTGGAATGCCCCTATCAGAAATATAGCAAATCATAGGGGTGATGAAGCAATGTCAGGAAAGGTCATTAAAATAATATGCAGGAAGTTACCTAACATACATAGTTTGGATGCCAAGGCAACCCCGCTCATTCCACTTCACTGCCAGCCCTCTGATTTGCCAAGGTGCCAGCAAGCCGCTTGAAGGGCTTTGCCGAGAGCGCATACAAGGAAGTTGGGCAGCACCTTGGATTGCGCAGCCGACAAAGTTTGATGCGGGCTGCCAAGACTGACAACCTCAACAATGCTGAAAGGGATCTTCATCGACTTTTCAGAGACGAAGGGTTGTGCCTACCAATTTCAGCTACAATTGCCCAAGTTGAAACCCAAACGCTCCACTACTTGAGTTTGCAGACCTGGTTTCCTTATCTCATGAGTCGTCAACCTGCTTTGTTGCTTGGGGGATTCCAACGGAAGGGATCGAATGCAGAACTGTTGCTTAGCACATTCTGGAAAAATTTTCAATCCTATGCACCTGATCATGCTGTTTTTGATCTACATGGTGGAGGGGATCGCCTATCAACATGTGTTCCTTTCTTTCTTCACCTGGATGAAGGGACGGGGCTTCGCAAGTCTGCTGTCCTTGTAGTATCAATGCAGCCGGTCTTTGGAAGGGAAACTTCTTTGAGATTTTCGTCCCTCCACAAAGTACGAGATATGCATGATCGCATGACCCAAGCACAGTCTCACAACAACATGGGCAACACCTACCTCAGTAGATTTCTATTGACGGCCATGCCAAAGAAGATGTACATGGGGTCCAATGTGGGTACCTACTGGGGCATGCTCGACCTGATTGCCAAGGAGTGTAAAGCTCTGATGACTGATGGGATCTCAATCCATGGTGTGAAATACTATCCCATTTGCATTGGGGTCAAGGGAGACCAACCTGCGTTGATCAAGTGCGGGAACTTCAAACGTTCATTTATGAACATGGCCAAGAACAAGGGTTGTTGTTGGGAATGCCTTGCAGGGTTCGATGAGTTTCCGTTTGAAGACACAACACCTACGCCAGCATGGTTGTCTACTATTGGGTTGGTAGACCCTTGGCCAGCTGCCTCCCCATCACCTTTGTTGCAGGTCCCAGGCTACAGCGACAATTTGACCCTGTTCTGGCGCCGTGACCCTTTCCATGCTTTCAAGCAGACCATCGGTGGTCATTTTGCTGCCTCGTTGATTATCTTGTTTGCAGTTGACTTTGGTCTATGGAAGGTTCCTGGATTGAGTTCATCAGTTGATGAAGTCCTAGCAAGGGCATTTTACGACTTCAGTTTTTGGGTCCAATTTGAGTGGCGTGGTAGTGTGAGAAATCATATCAAAGCCTTTACGAGACAAATCTTGCATTTCCCTGATCACAGCAAATTTCCCTTCGCCCGTTTCAAGGGGAGTGACCAAATGATTCTACTCCGCTGGCTTAGACATTTGATCTTGAATGGGGTGGTTTTCGAAAGTGATATCACCAGGGCCAGTGCAAATCTTATCAACTCTCCACCGGCAGATGGGCAAAAAGAGTTTTTCTGGAATGCCCTGCATGGATGTGAGGGTGGGATTCAGTTCTTCCATTCCTTGCATCGTGAAGGCTTGTGGCTAAAAGAGGTTTCAAATGTCATGGCTTCCAACTGCCGGCTCTTTTGTACATCTTACCGGAGGTTGGCCATGTTGTGTCACCTGAAGGGCTTGGCTCGGTTTCACATGGAGCCTAGCTTACACACGTTTTGTCATTTTGCAGTTGACCTGTCAGTGTCAAGTCCCATCAAGTTAAGTCCGGCCTCGTCAACAACAGAGGCTGACGAGGATTTTGTTGGGAAGGTTGCACGTTTGTGTCGACATGTTTCAGCTATGCAAACTACCAAAAGATGCATAGAGCGCTACTTGATCCGTTTGTACTTTGAATTTGAAAAGGCTTGAGTCACATCAATATCATATTTGAACTACAGTGAAAAGAACAAGTCTTAACATGTATCAGCCATTTTATTGGTTTGAAAGCACTTTTCATCTTCAAAAGTGGCAAAAGGGTCAGTTGACCAAGAGTTGACATAGCAACTTAAAGGTCCAAAATCCCAATCAATGCTGATCCAGGCACATATGCAGGACGATGCATTCCAGCAGGAATTGAGCAAAGAAAAACAGCTGTCTCTGGCAGGGCGTTGGGGGCATGTGAGCCTTGTACCGTTTTTGTTTACCTGATACGTTTTTTCTCATAAAGGACTAAAAAAAAGGTACATGTCAGAAAGGACTAAAAAAAAAGGCCACAGGAGCTTCCAGGTATATTTATAGTATAGAAAAAACATATTTTGACTTCTTACGCTCAGAATATCGGTAGAATGATTTTTATAAGATATCAGCAGAATATCGCTAGAACAATGTGCTACGGTAAGATAGGTATGTGACATGTGTGTATATCATGGGAGTATAGTATTGTGTTTGATTATATAGAGGATTTGGATGGGATATGGGTATGTGTCAAATTACCGATGATGTGAAAAAAAATGTGGGGATGAAGATTCAGCGAATCACACACTATTTTGTCTTGAACAGCAGGGTACCAGGGTTTTGACTCATACCAATACCACATAATGGGGTAGTATATGGGGGCATAATATTATAGCCAATGGATGTCAGACATCATAGCTATATGGGGGATTATGGGGGATGATGATCTTATTTTACCGGTGGGGTTAGTGGTTATTTTGGGGTACAATTACCGTACGCTCCCATAGACTAGCTGGTTTAGTGATGTGTAATTTGGGTCAAATTTCTATCCCCTAGTTCCATCGCACATGGACAGATGGGCTTGTGTTACAAGGTTTGATAGGGACTTAGCTTCTTTATCCCATCGTTAGTGGCTGGATGGGCTTATGTTAGTGGTTTATTAACTACGAGTACTACTAGCTATGTAATCTCCATCAGCCAGCAAAAGTACCCCAAAAAAAACACTGAAGCTTTTGGGCACGCCGCTTAACAGCAAGACAATACCTTGGCATCGTCAAAACATGTTAAAAACCATTAACAGCTGTAGGTGATTTCTGGTAATTCCAAAGCATCGACCTGGCGGTTTCTATCCATCGACACACATACCGCTGGCGTGGCATTTGGCATCTGACGGCGCTGAGGCCAAATCTTTCCTTCGTGGCCTGCTGGCCCACTTGATCATCGTGCCCGCCTGGGTGATTCCACCAGGACGGACACCATGGGTGATCACATGACTCAGCGGGATGTCATGGGATAGAAATATTAGTGTTTGTTAATGTTTATTAATATATAACATATAACATCATATAACCACATCATTAATGATTTAGAATAATAGTAACAGTTATAACTTATAACTTTTAATACGCACACAACAGTTCTAATGATTGATAATCATAACAATAACTATCACACACACACATAATGAGATCATCCAGCCGAGACCCCAGCTGCAGGAGCTCTCTTTGGATCCCTGGTGCTGGCTGGAGCACCGCTGGGACTCAAAGGCATCCTGGCCACCATGGGTATCTCGGCGGCAGCTGCTTTGGTACCCGAAGACTTGGGGGGAAAAATCTAAGATCCCATGGTTGATCATCATCTATCATGATTTTCCTACGGTGTTTCCATTGAATTGCATTTTGTGTGTAAGGGGGTGCCCATTTGCAGAGCCAGTGAAAATCTCAGTTTTTTTCTGGCGGCACGGTGGAAAAGCGGCTGGCACGGGAAAGACAATCACTGATTCACCGCAAATCCAAGCAGAACCACAGAGTTGACCTGGAACATCTTGGAACCACAAAAGTTGGTCGAAACTGCAAGCGTGCTGGTGGCAAAGGTGTTGGTGCTGGCCTGGTGTCGGGTCCAAAGAAAATGCGACCAGTTGCTTGGAGAGTTTGGTGTGGGGAAATATGTATATATACGATATATATATATATATGATATATATAATATACACATATCAGCAGATTCATCGAAGTATGCCTTACTATATGCATTCAGATATCCATTAAAAACCCATGAACATACGTTAATATATATATATATATAGATGTACATCAACGTACACACACACACACACTAAAATACACTGATACATACTAAAATCATTGATATACATTAATATCCATGGTTATACATTAATACATGTCAATATACATTAAGATACCACAATGCACATTCATGCACTTCAAGACCGTAATTATACCATAAATATACATTGATAACTTATTGATATGTATACTGTAAAGACATTAACATACATAGATACATAGATACATAGGTACATAATACATAGATACATGGATACATAGATGGATAGATGGATAGATATGATATATAGATAGATAAATAGATAGATAATAGATACATGCAGAGAGACAGACAGGCACTCAGGCAGGCAGGCAGGCATGCATACATGCATACATACATACAGTACATACATATTGATTGAGATTGATATACTGGTATGTATACACTGATTTACCTTGTACATTGACATATAGATATTAGTACATAGATATACCTTAACACATAGATATATTAGATACCATAAACACATTTTTATATTATAAATTTTAATGTATATACTATATATAAAATGCATACATATATTCATACACGCATATATCTATATTCACATATATGTACATATATATATACACATATATATATATGCACGTACATATAATGTTAATATGTATATTTATACACACTTATGTAACTTATGTATGTATGACGACATTTGGATTTACTTTGCTGGGTTTGGCCAAGTAGCGAAGTCGATTGATCTTCAACACGTGTGACCAGGCTTTCGTGACTTGTGGGCTCTGGGGCTTCAAGCACAACTTGGACCTGTCATGCTGGACCCCATGACGGTTTGTTTTGACATGTTGAGCAAAGGAGCATGTCCTTAGTTTCAGGAATGAGTGACACATTAAACCGAGTGCAGCCAAGGCTTTCTGTGCGATAGCACTTCTGGTGGCAGCAGCGAGCAAAAAAACCAAGGCATGGCCAGGGAGTGGATCCAGAGATGGATCTTTGTCAGGGCTCTTGTTCATTGAAGGGTACGTACGGTACGCCATATATGGAAATATCACACTTCCTGCCCAAGAAAGATCACTTTGCTGCCTATTTGACTCGTTCGCTTGTGAAGTATTTCACTCTGTTGACATGTTTTTACCTTACCACCCTCTGGCTTCTCCTGAAATGTTCGTTGGAGTTTGAGAAACGAGGGTAAAATCCGGGCAAATCGCAAAAAACTATATGGCTATATGGGCTATATGGGAAATCCATGGAAATTCCCTGTAAATGGAGGTTATAGCAGGGAAAATTATCGAAATATAGGGGATTTCATGGGAAAGTCCCTTATAAATGGAGGTCTTACTGTAATTGGAAATCGCATGAAATCGCTTATAACTATAGGTTTTACCCTCTGGTAAACTAACATAGCCACGGAAAATCACTATGTATAAAAGGTCCATTTTCAATAGCTATGTTAAACTACCAGAGGGTAATGGGAATTCAACATCGAACTATTCCTGGAGGATGCCTTCTCGCAGGCCGCTGTGGCAGCAGTGGTGGCATCGTTTTTGACGTGGCTGGTCTCCCGACAAGGCCCGCGGTCCCGTGGTCGGATCGGTTGGATCTCCCCTCAAACTGCCCCATCTGCAGATTCTTTGAACCAAACATGGAGAAAGCCTCCCAAAATCCCAACTGCCTCGAATTTGATCTGCTAGTAAGCTACTCACGTAAACAAAATTGTTGCATTATCTTATCGTCACCCATATTGATTCTGGCAGTGTGACAGACTTCAGATCCCCCAAACTCTGAATTTCTACTGGAATTCCTCGACTTATTTGGGTACCCAAAGACTTTTATAGATTCTTAGAAGCTCCATCTATTTGCCAGAGTCTGCGAGGCAAGATCCCTAGATATCCATGGCTGTTCAACTTTGTGAGCACGTGGGCCAAGGCCGTGTCGAACGCATGATTTTTCCACCGGGGTCAGAGAAAAACGACTTGGAACACATCACTTGTAGGGTCTGTTGGTTTTATGTCTTATCATTGCTTTCATAATTTGGGGATGGGTCAAGACGACCGTGGGGATGAACTTATTGCTACAATACTTGGGTTTTGACCCATCGCAATTGGGCAAAATGAATCCAACTAACTCCTACTCGTTTTGTCAATCTTTGGGGATTGACACCGCTAACATCAGAATCATCCCCCAATTTCTGCGCCAGGATTATTACTCAAACACTGCGCTCCGTGGGGCCTTGGACGATATTCGTCCAAACAAGAGCTTCTTAGGTTTCCATCCTCATGGCCGCTTGGCGAAGACTGAAGACCTGTGACATCCTGTGACATCCTGTGACTTGAGTGACGACTGAAGGCACTGAATCTCAGCTGGAGCCTTGTAAAGATTGTAAAGATTCGAAATGTAGTGATGACATGTGATGACTGTTGATGTTTTTGGCGCTTCTATGTGCGAGTGCCAGCTTGGTATACCTTCTTCTATATCTCTGAATGGACATATATTCCGGATTATTCCGGCTTGGTCATCCATAGCTGCCATAGATCACATGCTCCAAGAAAACCATGATCCGCAGAATTCTTCCAGGCTGCCTTTGCGCTGGCTTCACCATCAACTGCACCTACAATCCAGACTTCATTCGCGCCTGCACAAAGGTTTCCTTTTTGTGCGACCCTGCACTGAGGCGGTAGAACTGACTGAAAGATGGTGTGTGGATGTGTGTCTCAGAATGGGGAGTGGCATGGATTGGCCATTTTGAATATGACTGAATATGTGGGGAACATCATGATGCACCAGGTTCCAAAATTTGAGAAGTTGATAATGCTCCTCTGACGTGAGAGGCACAAGAATCCTGGATTTCAGCTCATGAGCGAGGCTTACGAAGCAGATGACGCTTGGATTCACAACAAGTTGCTTCCAAATGAGACTCAAGCAGCACGGCATATGAGTCAATACTCTTAATAAGGCCCTCAAACCCTCCTGCCACCAATGACTTGCATCCCAACATGATTCGGGCGCATTTTGTGGTGATTTTAGTTGTCATAAGCTTGAACTTGTCACGAAAGGTAGCGTCAGCTACCCGAGTTAATGTGCGTTAGCACTAGGGCGGTCCATTGTGACTCGTAGTCGACTCGTAGTCATGTTTTGGGATTCAGAAAGAAATCTTCACTTAGCGGATAGCCCGGATAGCTTACTATATCTTACTATGACTTACCACGCGCCGCGTTTGCTCGACGGCAAAGAGTGTGAGGGGGTGCCCGGCTCTTCATTCTAAGAGCGCTTGAGTACTCAAGCCTTGGCGGTGAAATACCACAAAGATGGATTTCTGTTGGCCTTTAGGTTTGTTTTTGAAGTGAATTGTGCCGTTGGCAGTCAACTCTAGCACAGGCTCTGCACTTTGCGCGTCTCGCCCCAGCGGCGTTAGTTTGAGACCCAAAAATTGGAACTACTCTAGCAAGAACAAGAGCTGCTAAGACGAAACGCTCAAAACATGTAGCTCGGAAAGGATTTTCAGGTCCACTATTCTACTCCCAAACTGTGACTTTAGACGAGCTGGCAGAAATTTAGGATGTTTCCGAGGTTTTTGCGCTAGCTCGGCGCTAGACAGTGCGCTAGGTTCGGGGTAGAGAGCCTATGAAACGTGATTAGATTAGTTGCCAATTTCACGTTCATTCGCAGCTTTGCTGCCACTACCTTGGGAGATTGTGCCTATACCCCAGAGCTTGTTTCTTGGAAATAGTTCTTTAGGCAGTTTCAAGCGTCTCCGCGCAAGCTGCTAAGCTATAGGTTTGCCAGATTCTGCACGTCCAGCCGCGGTAGCTCCCAGTTCCCATGAAACATGTGTGGTTTCATCTCCGGGGTCTACAGCCAGTCTACAGCGGCAAAAAGCTGCAAATAGTGGCTCAAAGTTCAGTGCTGCAACTGATCTTGGCCGCCTGTGCGCATCAAACAGAGTAATTATGTTGAAATTTGGACCGAAAGTTCCATTGACCCTGATTACCGGTATCATCACCGCCCTCTTCATCCTCCTCTTCCTCCTCATCCTCATCCACATGTTCATCCTCCTCATCCTCCTCATCCTCCTCATCCTCCTCCTCATCCTCCTCCTCATCCTCCTCCTCATCCTCCTCCTCATCCTCCTCATCATCATCGAGTCATGGTCATCGTTCTCGCCCTCTTTAATCCTCACCATCATCCTCAGCATCATCGCCATCGGAACATACTTCCCAGCACATTGTAGTTGATGTAAATAATATACCCATTCTACATACCAAAAAAGATCATCACGTGGCTGTCACCCTGACAATCATATAATGACACATCATGCAACCATATAATGACACCATCATGCAACCATATAATGACACCATCATGCAACCCAACCTCATTTTACAATGCCCAAAACTATTGCAACCCTGACAAGATTTTGACGTACGACTCGTGCCCAAATATTCTACTATTTTCCACAATTTTCCACATTTCACAACCGAGGCAGCGCCCTGATCCAAACAACACCAAATAAACCATGTCACTTTGAAATTCTTCATGCCGCAGAGCCATGTGGCATTGACTTCCTTCTTCCATTATCTTCCATTCCTGTTGTTACCCCTTCTACCTTTCGCCCACCCCTTCTCGAGTTCTTTCTGGTTTCCGCATGAGTTTGGATCCACTAATCAAACCTGACTGGCTGGAAAATCTGCAAGACTTGTAGAGTCTTTTCTGTTGATCTGTTCCCTTAAAGATGTGTTTTTTCCATGCTCCATGGATTCGACTGCTTTTGGCAGATGGCGCCCCCAGCAACCTCATGTGGCCCAGGATCGCACGATCGAAGCCTGCGATCCGGAAGGTCGAGCATCACAATGTAAGATGTAGTGTATTTTTTCTCTTTTCTTGTATCTATCTATGTACACATATATACAATATATATGATTATATAATATTATATATGATTATATATGTATCTATGTACATATATATATATATACATATTCACACACAGAATGGTATCCTGCTATACTGCTATACACATCACACATCGTCACACAATAGTGTGATGTCAACAGCCATGACGATACACCCAATCTTGAACCAATTGGGGTACGAATCGGGGTATATTCGACAATACTGATGACCAGAATATTTTGCTTGCTGAATGTAGCGTTTAGAACCTGGACATGTTCATGATGTTCGCCTTGTATCAGCCTGAGACCTTTCATACATCTGCAAGGCTTCAAACATCACATGCAAGAAGGCACTAATGTGACCTGGCTTCGAGAGGAAAAGGTATAGGGCAGCTGAAACAATTAACATCTGGACGATGTGCATATTACTGACCTATGGCCCATACCCATTTATGTTTCATTCATAGTATGAATAAACCGGTACGGCACACTTTTCTTTGCTGACCATGTGAAGTGCTTGATGTCGTTTTAGAAGCCTCTCCACACATGTTACTGCTGCCGATGCCGATCTGACACCAAGGTTGCCTTTATTCCTGGTGGCTTCATGGACGCAGTGGCCTATGAGTTTGGGAAGGAGAGGTTCTCAGCAGAATCTGTAGACTCCGCTATTACTGCGTCGTGGTTCCATGAAGGGCTCTTAAGCGTTGGAGCAACGTTTTGAACCTTTCTCCCCTTCCAGGCCTCCCGGGCTTCCCGGGCCTCCCAGGCCTCCAGGCCCCCTCTTTTTCTACAGGATGTGTGTGTGCTCTCCAGCAAGAAGGGCTTCATCAAGTACTGCCTGCAGTGACTGGGCCATGTTGGACCCGCAGCGACCATAAACCACCCGCAATGGCTAGCGGTCCACCTTTACCTGGGAGGATGATCCCAGCGTGGGAACCACCAGCCAGAAGCTGATGTTGCGTTTTTTCGTTGCAAGCGCTTGTCCGGAAGAAGTTCATAGGTGAACCGGTGAAATGAGCCATGTCTTTGTTTTCGTTTGCATAGTTGTGAAGGAGTAATCTGTCGCAAGAGGTTTGGATACCGAGCGCATCCGGTCTACACTTTTGGCGAGTGTGAGACGCATCTGATCAGCAAAATCAAGGGTGGTAGGTGGGATCACGTTGCTGATTGCGCTTCCAACCCTACCAGAAAGCTGGGCTAAGTTGACCTCTGAGGTACCACACCTTCACTGGGCTGCAGTCCTTCAGGATGAGAGTCGCACCTGGCCAGCACTCATATGGCAATGGATCCAAATAATTGCTGAGGTTTATCACACGATGCATAACATGCATAGTCAAGATATGTCAAGATTACATGTGTTATCAGGTATCATCAGGTATCAAAACGTAACATACTGTGGATGGTTGCGAAATCCTGCACCACCAAAAGGATGGTTTTTACCCTATAAATAATGGGATGTTTACCACCTACCAACTGGTGCAGGATTTCTCAACCATCCCCAGCCATAACATCAGCTCCCTGGAGGCACAGGAATCCGTATGAAACTCGGGGATCTACCATTGTCTACCATATGAGTATAGAATCCTGCAGTAAGTGGCTTAGAATATGGCTATAGTATGGTTTGGAATCCGACTTGGGATTCCGTATGATTCCGTTTTTTCGTTTTACACATCCAATCATCCAGCCGATTCCTGGCGAGGCTGCTCAAAATGTCCCTGCCTTAGCCTTCTTCGGCTGGCCTTTGGTGCCGTTTTTGCCGCGACCGCAGTCGCAAATTCTGACCTATGCATCTCGGCATTTTGATGGGCCCCCTATGGGTTCCCTCAGGCGACCATGATCAAACCTGGTTGGATTTTGGTGTACCCGATTTGAAAAAACCAACCCAAATAGCATGGCATTGGCTGATCAAACATCATGAAAAAGAAATTACCAGTTGAAGTATAATAGAAAAAGAGATAAAAAGTCTCACGGAATCGCTGTCCGTTGATTTCAGTTGAACACATCAGAGGTTTCCAAGCATAGCAGGACTTGTTTTTTCTTTTTACTTAGCTCAAGCTGGTCACAGTGGTTTGTTTCCACATGTGCCGTGTAGTGCTTGTTTCCGGCAACCTGGTGATGATTTTCAGGTGGGTCCAGGCATTGACATGCCACACATCCCATCGCCGACCCATGAAGACGTGGATCAGTGGCATCAGGCTAGGTGACCGTGGGCTTGTGAGGGCTGCACAACAGCACAATCATCATCAATAATCATCAATTTATATCCGTGTGCCGTATGCATGATGTCACTAGTTCACTCCAGTTTGAACAGATGTTGATGTTTCATCTTTTTCATCGTGATCGAAGAATGGTAAGAGCTCTTGGATCCAGAGGTTTCCGCACCTATCAAACACCCTGCTCAAACACGCGCCTCCCCACCCTACTTGATCTACTTGTAGTCGTATGGACTAAACATTAACACTCCATCCATCTCCATCCCAAGAAGCAGTTACCCGGCGTGTGCAGCTACACTTGCTCCGGCATGAACGGGCCCGGAAATGCCCAGAGCATTTGATGCCCGGAAATGCCATCCCATGCATATTGCTTCCTGCGGGGCATGCTATGCTCATCTATGCTCTCCAGGTCTACGTTGATGCGCTCCGCAAGCTGTTTGATGACAACAAGGCACGTTGCCGTTGAGATTTGAAGCTCGAGCTTAAAATGGAGACTGTGGCAGGGCCTAAAATACCTTGCAAACTTTACAGTTTTTCGATGTTTTTCTTTCCATTTATAGATGATTTTCCCATTAAAACCTCCATTTATAAGGGATTTTCCACGGCTATGTTAAATAACCAGAGGATAAATGCTGGTTTTTCAAAATGATCGAAGTTGTCCTACTCAGCCTGCAGTGCACTAGGCAGATGCTGGATATCCCAATGCGCAGCTGGAGATTCTGTAGCTGGACTGATCTTGTAGCAGCTGGATTGATGCAAAACAACCCCCAAACATTGTATATATTATATATCAATATATATCATATAATATATATATTATAGTATATACATCATATATATATATATCATACATATATAATATAATATACATACATAATATCATCGGTCCTCAAATGTTCTGAATTGGAGTGAGAAGGGAGTTTGCACGATTCCGACAAGAATTTTCATCTTTTTGACCAGTGTAGAGCAAATTGGCTTTGCCAGCAACGTGTGAACTGCTCGCACATATGATGCGTTTGGCGCATGTGAGTGCAGTGAACCTTTTGAATGTTCATTTCAGAAGTAAGTATTTCGACCATTGCATTGAGCATTGCGAAACTGCGAAACTCCCAGTCATGCACACAAATGCAGCCTGTATATGGTTAGATACATGTGTGTATATATGTGTATATGTACACTGTACACACGTACAATGTACACACGCACCAAATATACAAATCCCATATTCTTTTACAACATTTATGTGCGTATATATATATATTATACATATCTAAAACCCCGATGTGTGTGTATGTATATATAATATACATAACCCATAGAGCCCCATACAGAAATATTTCACCTACTGGTATGCATATAACCCAGATATACGTATTACATCCCATTTATATATATACAGTATATACATTCACATGACCCATGCATAGATAAACTAAGATCAATGCATTCATACACGCACATACATATATATATATTTACACAGTAGTTATATAATTATATTACATATACGTATAGATATGTGTGCATGTAAACACTGTGCAATCTGACTACATATTTTTCCCATATTAACATATCATCCAGAACTATTTGTGTACATATTTACGTAGAACCCACATATATAAATATAGTTGTACTTATACGTAGGCCATGGTTGAATTTCACACATACATAGATACAGCAGAAATATCCCATGAAAAAACATGTACGCATGTATGTATGTGTATATATATATAGATAGATAGCGCATTTGTCCATAATTATATGTATAATATATGCATACAACATATTAATGCAAACCACATATAGATACAACCGATGTAAATGTATGTATATAGGCATATGTTTTGCATAAGTATATATATATACAATTATATACATATATATATATATGTATACATATGTATACGATCCAAACGTATGTATATAGATACATATTAAGATACCATGAGTACGTATATTACACATCTATATATTTATATTCAAGCAATATATATATATATATGTATACATGACCCACGCACACACATCCATATGTACATATATACATAAATATGGAAGTCCATATGTATACAATACATACAATATAATACAATACAATACAATTACAATACAATACAATACGATACATTACATTACATACATACATACATACATACACATAACGTAGGTATATAGATTAGGCGTTTTCAGGACGGATGTTGAAAGTTTGCATGCAATGCCCAAGAGTTTTCATCGCTCGGCAATGGCTGTGCTGTGAATCCAAAGGGACATCTGCATTTCTTTAAGCGCTGACCTTCACTTCTTGTACGATCATGTGACCCTTTTCCATACATATTACATATTCTCTACATATATATGTTTTGGGTCGAACGGGTATTGTAAGTGTCGGCCTATTTTTGATTTCCAATCCTAATTGTATTTGCAGATGGGAACTTTGCAGGGCAGTTTCGATTCTCCGACAATGTTGGCGTGGCCCGAATAGTTTTTGATATAAAAAAGAGACAGTGGTTCGGGAAGCCGGCTGTCTACGTGCTGTGCGGTGATGTATGTGCTTTACTTAACGATCCTCAGTGTTTCACTTGGTATTTTCTCAAGAACCCAACCAAGTTGCATGTGATACGCAGGCGCAACAGAGTCACAGATAGGATGGAACACTTGGGGCATTTTCCGTGAAAGTTGATGTGCCAGCATCCTCTAGACTAGACTCCCATCATCTCCCATCACAATTTTGAGCATCTCAGTCTCAATCTCATTCAATGACGTTCAATGTTCATCCCATTATCCCAGCATTTACAGTGTTTCATAAGAACCCCAAGAGTTACCAACTGGTGCAGGATGGCTTGTCCATCCACAGTAGAGAAACATGTCCCACGGGGCGGTGTCCACATGGGTCCACTCCAACCGCCAGGGGAAGGTTGGAGTTCCCATCGACCGCAGGTGGGATGTATGCTGAAAATGGAGCGCATCTGCTTACCGCACTCCACAGATGTGCTTGGATAAACCCCAAGAAAAACTGGTTAAACATGTTAAAACTCATCCCATTTTTGACAATGTTCATTCTGTCAGAGAGATCCTGTCCGAAATGATATTGCTTGCTTTATCGCTTTCCCACTTCCATGAAAAAAAGCAACGACCAGGGCATCGATGAAAGCGCCTGCCTCAGATTGTCAGGATTGGGATACCCAGGTTTATGCGGACTACAGAATACTACAGAATGAAACACCAAAGCCTTTGAATCCTTGGATGTGGCTCCATTTCCCATGGTATGCCATGCTACCTTGCTTTTCCCATCATGTTGAAGGAGCTGGCGACCATCTCTTAATATGACTATAAGTATGGCTGTATCCATTGTGGAATATCCATGAATATCCCCATTACATTCCCATGGTATCCCAAGCTTTGACCATGACACATGGGTGACTCCAAGGCACTAAAAAGCGACGGAGCAACTTTAGCCTGGGGCCCCGTGGGATCCGAGACGGGGCTGTGAGAGAGAGAGGGAGAGTAGCGTTGCAAAATGATGCAAACATGATATAAGATGATATTATTTATATATATATATATTTAGGCATATCACAGACAATATTTTTGTCTTTTTTTGGATCGTTGAATTTCCTTGAATTTATCGGATGCTCAGGTGATGCTCTTCCAGCTGCAGGCGGAGTCCTGGAAGCCCATGGCAACATATATAGATGATCTATCGGACTAGATGTAAAGTGATAGGTGAAGGCATAGAAACATATGAATCAATGGCAAACACGTAATAATACATACATGTATATATATATACATACGCACATGATATATCAGCATCTCTACATGTGGGTATATATATACAGACTGTATATCAGTAACTAGTATATCTCTATCTATATATATATACATAGATATTGTATATAAGTATGTATATATATACATATATGTGGTATATACCTAAGTATATATATATATGTATGCATATATACATGGTATAATATATATATATACATGATCTACTGATATACATACACATACGGATATAAACGCATGTTGGTAACTTGCAGGTCCTCTTCCGCCGGAGGACGAACATGCAGAGCGTCTCGGATGGCAACCATGGTGTGGAATGGGGCTGGATTTAAGCCACCAAACTATGGGACCTGGATGTGGGGTATCATGGGATATTATTGGGGTACAATGGGATAATATGGGATATAGAATAGAAGGCAACAGAATGATTTTTCTGGATGTGCCATGGTCTGAGATAAATGGCCCAGTTCTTGGAAGGTAAAGGATTCATATACCCTTTATGTTTGGACTCCCATGGAATGGGAACACATTCCAGTTGAAAGAACTGACACACGATTCTGATCTGAACCCTGATCCACTGATCCATACTGATCCTGCAAGGTTGCGCTTGGGATGCTTTGAGATCACTGGGAAGAAGAGACCGAGGCGGTGTAGTCAATGGGTCCCAAGAAAGTTCAATTCAAAAAGGATCAATGGGATATCACTGGAATCGGATCACACCAGAAAAACTCAGGGAACTATTGAGCGGAGCTGGGCCTCAAACCCTTGTTGTTTGACGGCTAATTCAGTGTTCGATAATATAATACAATATATATATATGATGATATAATGATATATGTATCTTATAATGCATACATGGGTGATATTATATGATATGGGCATAGACATACAGGGGGCAAAAGTCAAGAAACTTTAAGACACAAAAAGCCTATGACCCACGGAGTTTCAAGGCAATTTTGGCAGCCCATTGAACAACGGGCGTCAGCAAAAATGCTACCAAGTGGAGGCCACAAAGTCTCAATTTGGTGAAGTCCATCACTCCGAATGCAGTCCATGTTTCTTGGCGGAGCGCGATGGATGCTGGTACCATTTGATACCCTAAAACTTCCATGATGTAAGGACCACCTCAAAGTCAGTGCTGTTGTAATGGGGGGAAACGGATTCCAAAGTGGCTTGCAATTTAGGTTTGTGAAATATGACCATTTGGCATTGGATGCACGAGAGTTGAAAACAGATCGTTTACGTACAAAACAGATCGTTTCAATAAGGTGAAAGCCGGTGGCCGTGATGCATGGGAGATGGTTGTCGGTTGACACGAGATTCGCAGACTAGATCTGGGTCTGTCTTCAAATTCGGTAGCCAAAAAAAAACCCATGCCTGCCATGCCTCATCATGATTTTCCGATCAAAATAGCAATTTTTGGGGATCCCCGGAATCCCCCCAGACGAAGCCCAAATATCATGTTGTTGGTATCCCATTGCATCCCCCATGATTCGATACCCCGATCGAGATGGCTAACCGAGGAGCAGGCTCCGCTGGCCGAAGCAAAGACCTTTGAGATCGGCGGAGGTGGGGCTTGGGGTAGCTCTGTCAATCTTCCGCAGTACCAATAAAGGATGTGTTCAGTCAGATACCAGAGGTCAGAGGTTAGATATATACTGGAGACTAGAGGCTTATATAATTACTCTCGGTGGTTTTTTTTCCCATCTTTTTCAATGGACTATCGAAAAGTTCCGTGACAGTTTCGGACGTTAGAATTTCTCTTTGTGGTGCACGTCCAGTTGCCGATGGAGGAATCAATCTGGAAAACCGAGGCACAAAGAACCATATAATGCTGCATTTCTCTAGCACTTTTGTTGGCATCTACTGTTTTCGAATGTTTTCTACATCCAAAAACATAGCATCCAACTCCTATATCAATACAAAGGAAAGATAAGGAAAGTATTTTTCAAGCAGTGCCACTTCAGTGTCAGATGATCGCATTTGTGGCTACACCTCCCAACTGGTTTCTGATCAATCAATCAAGGTTTATGAGTCATTCAGGGTGATCGTTTTATACGAGTTACCCCCAACAGCCCAACAGCTGTACCACCGTCCCCCAACCGATATAAAAATCCAATGGGGGATACCCCAAGGAATCGCCAAGCCATATCCTGAGAGGGAATATATGGGAATATGCCCGCAACAAAATTAAGATTCTGACAACTGAGACTATCCACAATCATGGTTGGTAGAATATGCGCGGGGTCGAAATTTGGTAATATTTGAATTGGTTCATACTGACAATTGACCAAATCTGCTGTCCCCAGGGTCTTTAATTTTGACATACCTCATAAATACTCTATGGTAATTTGAAAAAACAATGGAAAATCACCCTTGAAGATAGATAATGCATTTTTCAACTAGCCATTTCCCATAGCTGCGCTGAATTACCGATGTTTTTCATTGCATGCTTTATGTAAATACCTACATGTACAAGCCCGCCTTCTATTGCCGCATTTCACGCCACTGGGCTCCAGTGTTTTTGCGTTTTGCCTGCGCCGGGCGCTGCACCGCAATGGGAAAGCAAAGCTCAGTTTCTGGGCAGTGACCGAATGGGGATCATCGAATGCAAAGTGGGAAGTTAATGATGATCTTTAACGATCATTTCTAGTTGATTATATAATAGGTATGATCAAACTACTTATCACAAATTACTCATGATAATTGATTATGATTTATGATATCATGAGTATTCAGCCGACCATGGTTAATAAACCCTTCAAAGCGTGGTTGTTGGGTGATTAATAGACTCTTAATAAGCCCGTGTTGTTGGGGGTTGATTGAATCCATATCCGTATGATTGTAACTGTTGGTATAATTACGACTACAGCCATGACAGTGACTGACTATGACTATGACCATGTCCAGAATTATAACAACCAGCGAAAGCGGGAGTGTGAACGCACACTGGCAGCCTTACCAACAAACATGGGGGTGATGATAAACAAGCATGCCACAGAACATCCAGAATGCAAACCTACCCTGACATGCGTAGGTGTCTACACAAATCTGGGATCTGCAAATCTAGGATGGTGTCCCTTTGAAATCGAAAGACCCAGCGTTTTCGTCTTGGTGTTGAGGTACACCTGACATCACCTGACCAGTCCTTGGAATTGCATTCCGCGCCACGCTCAGGCGAATGCATTCTACGATGGCTTGTTGGCACATTTGCTGATTGTACCCGCTTGGGTCATTCCGCCAGGCGATTGTCGGATGTTTTTGTCATGTTTTTGTCATGGAAAGTCGAACTTCTGAGGTGTCGATAACTTCAGATCCAAATCGGTGAAATTTGGGGACCAAGCACCATACAACACCATCTATATTCGTCATATTCCCCATAAGACAGCTTAAAACACCTGATATCTATCCTATATGGGGATGGGTCAAAACCCTGGTACCTAGTGAACCCCAAAATAGCTGGTAAATGGATGTTCATCCCACTAAAAATGTATCTATAGGTACTGACCCATACCCATATCTGTCTCTATCATTTCTCTATCCCCCATCTCGGCAGGATTGCTCTTTGGATCCTTGGCCGTGGCGGGCGCTCCGTTGGGCTTCAAAGGTGTCGTGACCACCTTATGTGTTGTCCTCAGACCTAAGGAAACTCTGTTGGAAGTATGGTAATGAAGATGGTAATGTCTTTTGTATCATATATCTTGAGGTCTATCAATGTCTATCATATGTTATCAATTCACACCACATATGGAAGACTTCATACAATTGGTAATGTATGATAAGTTTTCCATATTTGGATGGTATAACTATTGATATTGAAGTGGCACCTGAGGAAACCGGCTGGGAAACCAGAGGAAGCTTCCACCATTTGGATGGTAAATAGTTAGAGGAAACGCATAGCCAGTGACTTAGTATGGTAAGCTTTCCATGTTTGGATGGTAGAAAAGTTGCAGAAAGATATGTCCAGACTTCCAGAACCCCAGCATATTTGGATGCTAAGAACGACATCAACAGTTTACCTGTGACTTGTCTATTGAAGTGACAAGGAGAATCGAAGGGATCGAAGGGATCGAAGGGATCGAAGGGATCGAAGGGCTCGAAGAGCCGCTGGCAGTTTTCCAACTTTTTCCAAGGTGCCGGTGTTGCTCTGTTGCAGTTTCCCAAGAAGCTGCGACCTGATACTTGGACTGTGCACCATGACTCACCTGTATGTTGTGGACCCGATGGACGAGGGACCCCATCAGCATTGCCCTGGCTAAGGGATTCTGTCTTTTGGTCCTCTTCATGGCAGTGTCCTCCTACAAAACTTATGCCTCTTGCCTGCGCAGATCCAAATTGAGCAAAAGACATGATGAGAGAAAGGAGCATGAGAATCATCCTGTGAGTTTCACTTTTATCCAAGTGAATTTATCGATGTCTTGCATTTGGTAATTTGGCACCTTGCAACTACTGTGACAGGGACGGCTCCCATGCAGTTCTCACTGATATCTTCATTGGTAGGAAACAACTGATTCATATACTGTAGATTTATCCGTTAGGTAGTAGTACATTATTGGGATACAAATATCCGTTAGGTACTTATCCGTTAGGTAATAGGTAATCCCAACAACTATTACACTTCTTAGGTAATGAGCACATCCCGAAAGTCAGAGAGAAACAACAAACATGGGAACCCATGGCCCCAAGCGTCAGCAGGCCATTCTGGCGGCGATCTTGGCGTCGTTCTTAACGTTCTTGGTGACCCGATCAGGAGCCGATGGTCTCACCATAGTGGATATATATATATAATATATATATAATATATATAATATATATATATATAATATTATATATATATCATGATATATCTGTAGTTAAAGGGATTCATAAACCAACTTATAACTCGGGGCACCATATTGTATGTATGTATACACAAAACGCAGTACTTGTTTTCCTCACCCTGCTCTACACCTTGTCCGCAGGGAAGATTGCCCGACATCCTTGGCTCTTTGACTTTGTGAGTAGTAGAGCAAAGGCCAATGGGATTGGATGTTGTTGCATCCTGTCTCTGGGTTGACATCAATTTGTGTTTGCTGTACGACCTGGTACGCTTCCCGCCAAATGGTCCAAAATCTAAAGCTAAAGGCTAAATGCAGCGAAGTTTCCCATGCATTCACATATAGCACCGTCATGCAGATTGCTTTCTGACCTCTCTGGCTCCTGTAAGCTTTCCAGAACTTACACATGAGCAGTAAGACCTGCTGATTGGGAAAGAATTGTGAACTTCAAACATGGCAAGCTGTTGTTTGTTTACATTTGGAATGGTTTGGTTATACACTGATTCCAAGAAATCCAAACTACAGGCTGGACAACCTTCCCCAAAGTCAAGTCTATTGTGCTAGTCTCAATAAATAAAGTGTCAGGTTTCATAGATGAAGCAAAAAATGGGCAGGGCAAGAGGGGAATGCTCGGGCTAGCGGATGAGGACCGTTGTGTAATTTTGGATCATATCCCCTTTCTATCAGTGAAGAAGGTCTCAGCTTCATTGGAATTGATGCATCGATAATCACTCTCAAGAAAATTTGGACTTGTCTAAACCGAGGGACCACCTCATCTTTTTCACCGGCAAAGAGTATCTAATTTTCCGCAGAAATCCGCAGAAAACATGTCCATTTAAGGGTATCGCGGCGCTATATCCTGGATTTCAGACACCATGTGGAGGTTTCTTAAAATGGGGAATCCCCAAAACCATGGGTTTCAATACTAAGATGCTTTAATTTTACACCACCATTTTAAGAAGAGAGCGGGTGACCAAAAAGGCGAAAAAAAAATCAGTGTTTCTACAATATGCATGTCTCCACCCCCCTTGGGTACCCCTTCTTTAAGAAACCGCCATGTCATGTGTTCGCTGGACTGCACCCTACAGGGCTTCTACTCCGCCACAGCCTTGCGCGGAGCGCTGGACGATATTCGCCCCAGCAAGAGTTTCTTAGGGTTCCATCCTCATGGTTTCTCGGCTGAAGTTGTTACCCATTGGACACCAAGGGTGCCTACAAAACGATGTTGATATGGGTTTGTCTGAAAATAGGGTATCCCTCATTCCAATGGATTCAAACCTCATTTTTCCTCTTAAAATGGCTCTTTGGGGGGTATACCGGGTATACCCCACTTAAAGAAACTCCGATTGCCAGGCTGTTTGTGTGCCGGCTTCACGATCAATGGCACCTTCAACCCTGACTTCATCCGGGCCTGCAAACGGGTCTTTTTCTTGTGCGATCCAGTTCTCAGGCAAAGGGTCCCAGGGTCCCAGGGTTGGTTTCAGACCCAACCCACAGATGTTGGTCATTTAAGCAGTCTTTCAATGTCTTTCGGGATGTTTCAATTTTAGGGAGTAGATCCACTTTTCAGTCATTTGTGATCATTTCTGCATATTTTTGCTGGCTTTCTGCCCATTTTGGTGGCTTAAAAAACCAGCATGAAACCACCAATTTCTTTTGGTCGCCACGTTCATGTCTGATCCCAGGCACAAGAATCCAGGCTTTCAGCTGATGGCTGAAGCGTATGAAGCAGAGGATGCTGGGCTCAAAAATCGTCCAAACATGAGGGATTTCACCGTGAACTTTCACCATACTTAGCCCGTCTTAAGCTCACATAATTTTGTTATAACTGTTATATATTATATTATGGATATATACACGATGGTCATGGCCATCAGATCATGGGGAAACTGTGGTTTTCAAAAACTTCGGCATAGCTCCGGAGTTTGGTACCGGAATATCCACCGAGGATCGCGCGATCGAAGCCTGCGACGCACCAGGCGCTGTGACGCATGGAGGTTTGGTACAGAATAGCACAACCTGATTGGTAAACTAACAGTTTGCTATTGAACATGGCCATTTATAGTGAGTTTTCCCATTAAAAATTGTGATTTTCCATAGTTATGTTAGTTTACCAGAGGGTAACATAGTGATATATTACATATATCATATATACATATACATATTACATATGATTCAATTGATGTAAACTAACTACAGTAATCTAACATTACTGATATACCTATAGATATTATACATATTATACACACACATATATGGAGGTTTGTTTCCTGGAATGGGGATGCCCCAAAATGGATGGTTTATTTCATGGAAAATCCTATATACTAAAATATTTGGGGGTACCCCCATGGATTGGAAACCTCCATATTTCATTATACCACATAATAAAACATTATTATACCAATTTTCATCATAATCATAGAATTAATCAGAATGGAATCATAATGATAGTAATGGTAGTCGTAATACTACTACTACTACTACTAATAATAATAATAGTAAACACACCAGTAATAATATGATAATAATAGTAAGAATGATTATGAAACATATTTAATAGTAATATTCATATTACTGACAACAATAGTACGTAGTAATAATGATGATAATAGTAATAGTATTATATATATAATTAATATGTGATACAAATGATATATCAAAAGAACATATATGTAAGATGTTGAGAATTCTGTTAATACTTGACAATGAACAAGACGCATATGATACCAAATGCGAATGTCTACGATTCTAAGTTGTTGCATTTGATTCACAAGTTGGCACCGCCTGATTCTGTGCCTGATTCTGTACCTGTTTCTGTTTCAGCTACACACACACAGTGTTTGGAATGTCACACCTCTTACATAGACTAAGATGCAGACAATGCCACACCTTCTGTGAGGATTCAAGAAGCACATGGCTTCGGGAGTCAATGTTGTTGCCTCAGGTGTGAAGCCGCAGTGGCCTAAAATAGCCATTGGTAGTTCAATTACAGAAATTCCTAGGTATAAATTACATATGGAGGTTCCCAATCCATGGGGGTACACCTAGTTATCATCCATTTTCATAGGATTTTCCATGAAATAAACCATCCATTTGTAGGGGGTACCCCCATGACTATGGAAATCCCATGACGACATCCCAAGGCTCGTTGAAGATATTGGGCCGAGGTGGCTTTCAATCCTGGGGGGTTCATGGACGCCACCGTGTTCAAGCATGGCAAGGACACCTATAGCAGTGGATGCTTTGAGATTTTGTGATGAGCAGGTCCTTTACATGGTTTTAGTGATGTGGAATGAATCTAAAAAGGACAAGGAAACAGGGTGTGTCCGAACAACAAAAATGGTTATTTCACACGGAAAATAATGGTACACCCGTACTTTCAGACAAATCCATGATATATAATCCATGCCACACAAGATCACGTATGGAGCAAGAAAACATGATGATACTATCATTCTGAGCGTGACTGCTTGCCAGGACGTGTGCGTTCTCAAAAGCAAGAAGGGCTTCATCAAGTATTGCTTGCAGCGGCTCTGATCAATCACTTCTTCATCAATCTTCAAGCAGAAGTCAACCTGTTCTGCCAAAACAGTTTTCACTTTCCTTAGATTTCTGTACGCTGATTGACTTTTCTCTGCTTCCTTTTCCATTGGAGAGTCATACTTTGGTGGCAGGCGTGAAATTTGCAGCTGGAACATCTCAAACTTCCACTCCATTTGCAGCGAATAATGAGTTGTGGATGTTGCGAAGCTGCAAGCCTCGGCCCCCAAGGTTTGGATATCGTGCGCATCCTGTCTACACCTTCGGGGAGTGTGAGACGTAGCTTGGTTTTTATTTGTAAAGCAGCAAAATGACAGACCTCCAATGGACACTGTTGAGAGTTTCCTGACGGAGGTACTACACCTTCACAGGTCTCAAGAAGTTGCGCATGAAATTGGTGTCTTGCCTGCAACCTCTGTGGGTCACGCGTTCTGTTTCGATGAAAGGGCAGTTCTGTGCGAACATTGTATGAAGAAAATTGAAGAAATAAGGAGACCCAGGAAAGCCAAAAACCCTACTGTCCCGACTATACAGAAGATTGATGAAGATTGCACATATATCTACAGTATTCTAACTATTCTATTTTTGGAGCGTCAACCTTTCTCCAAGACTCCAAAGCTCTCCGTTGTAGTTCAGTGCAGTGGCTGACAGCTTGGTGGCTCAAACCCGACCCGGCGGCTCGTTGATACACGATGCTGTCCATCGTCCCCATAGTAGCAGCTCTGTGCATGGCAGCCGTGTCCGCACAAACACCAGAAACAGGAGAGATGAACTGTGGGGAGCAGCTGGGAATCAAAGCTGCTGATGGAGAATAATTATGGAGAATGAACTCTGTGTAGACAATTAAGGTATATATATAATTATATATATATATAATTCTGTATATATATAATTATATATATAATAATATATATATATATGTATAATATATATATATATAGAGACACACACATCTATATATATATATATACGGAGTCACACACATATATATATATACATATGGAGAATATGTCTCCATATATATATATATATATATGGATGGAGACATGTATACATCAGAAATGGGGCGGTTGCTTGCCATGTTACATTACGGCAGGGTAAATCTAAAACTACACAGACAGCTGCTTAAGGCTTATGGTATTCTTCTGACTGCAGTGGTCAGCAACTGCAGGACCTGCAACATCCTACATCTTCCATGACACTCCTCCCACCTTGCTCTTTATGTGGGGATCTGGATGTTTCTGAAACTTGGCTGACGGTTTGAACATGTTGGAACAATCGTGAGGAAGCCTCGATACATTTCTTTCAGGACACTTTTCGATGATATCTTAATTGAAGATATCTTGACGGTAACCCTCCGATCAAACATGCTCTTCCCCTTCACTTCGCTCCTGTCGGCAAGGTGCCTTGCTCACTGTTGCGACCACCGTCTACAACATCAGGCGCACCAGCTGTGGCACCCAAAAGAAGCGCAGATGAGGGTTGGGTAAGCGATGCAAAGGGTATCTAAGGGTCATGAAATGTCTTAGATCCATTGAATCCATTGGCACTAATGATTACTTCATGATTACTGTGATTTTCAGATGTTCCAAGTAAGTTTAAACCCCTCCAGCCCCGTGGATGATGTGGATGTTGGAGATCATCCCCACTCGCCGGAGGCAGCACATGACAGCCGCACGGGCACAGGGCTTTGGGCAAGATGAGTTGATTACCTCCTTCGGTGTACGAGCTGAACTTTGGCAACGAAAATTCAGAGGTTTGGACCAGTTTGGACCCATGGGTACCCATCCTTGTAATCCAACGGTTTGCCATCGAAAATGACCGTGGACACGATACCAGAGGTCCATATTGATACATATACACCTATCACCCATACAGACCGTGAGTTTCATGTGATCATAATATGTTGATAGTCGATAGTGATCCCTCGCAAGCATCGATGCTAAACACATTGAATGTCAGATGATTTGGCACTTGGGCTTGCCTGAAAATAGGCTACCTCCAGAACTTGATGATGAATCATCATGTTCCATCAAGTTCCATCATTTTCCCAAACAAATACTATTCCATGGCCATTTCAGGAACCTAAATTGGAGGTACCTACCATATATAAGGCCTATATAAGGCCTATGTAAGGGAATATCCCCAGAAAATATGGCCTTATATGGTACAGTACCTCCATTTTAGGATCCTGAAATTGCCATTGAACTATGGCCATTTGGGAGTTGACGCAATTTTCAGACGCAGCCACATGTGTTTTTGCTGATGGAGGGCTGAACTCATCTGCCTTCCGGCATCTTCACAGCTGATGCCGGAAGATCAGGACCGTATCATGCAGCTCCTACTGGTACCAGCAGTTTGTTCAATCACTGGTGTAGTGGCTCGGAACTGGGAGAGCCCCAGCAGGGGAGTGCTACACAGTGTCAAAGACAAAGCACGCAGTCCTGCAAGGTTGATATGTATATATATATAATTGTATATTTTAAATTATATAATTATATATATATAATAGTTAATTTCTTGTTTATGTTTTGTTTTGTGTGTGTGCAATAGCGGATAATAGCGGTACAGATGAGCAGTAGGCATATTTTCAATCTGTGTCCCAGTGAGGCATTTTTGCCCGATAGATCCATGACATCCAGCTGACCGCTGACCCTCTCCACGAGGTGCAGATGTTTCTTCCCGGCACAGCCAATGTGATGTCCTTGTTGCGCAGCATCCAGCTGGCCTTTGCCATGGTTCGCCTTATCGAGTGACGCGACAAAAACTGCCCTTTTGGGTGTCAGAAATCGGTACTACTGGGACCAGTACTGTGTTCATATCAGGTTCGTGCAAAGGAAATTAGATGGTCATGGAATATCAGGTTAGTGCAAAGGAAATATCTGATTTGGAAATATTTGCGAAAAATCGATCGAGCGTCAAGAAGGTGTTTACTGTATGTGATTTGAACAATATTTCAAAGTATCAATTGAATTCTTGCATTCTGCAGTACATGCTCAGGAAATATTAGGAATTAGATTGGATAGTCATGGAACTGTTTGTCAAAGTGGATCAATGCAGAGCTCCATAAATCTCAGTGTGTGTTCTTGATTGCTGGTGATTTCAAACATGTCTTATGTTTCATCAACCAGCAATATTGATTAATGAAATCATGTTTGGAACTTTCCATTTAGCCCCGCTGTTTTTTTTTCTCTAATCCAGCAATCATCATCCCACCAGGTCCCACCTCCCAGCCGGTTATTTCACAAAAGGCTCGCGGTTAACAGCGGCCCAGGCTCCTGTTTATCCTCAACGGAAGTCAACAGCACATTGTCTCAAAGTTGCCACAGGAGAGATGTTGATCTGCGAACAGCAGTTTTCGGTGAACATGGGAACTCCCCATCCAAAATAGAGAGGTTTTGCTGTTTTCGAATAGGAGAATTCATCATCTATGGAGTCTATGGAATATAAGAATATAATTTCCAGGCATGGCTGGATTGGCCTCCTGTAGGAGCAACGCCCCATCTTTGCATCCCCTCCATGCTGTTGCTTGCGCTGTCCTGTACTCCCACAGCTCCTTGGCAGTGATAATATTGGTCTGTCTGAAAATGTGGGATACCCGAAAATAAATATTGTAATTAGGACAATGATAATTACCCTTGGGAAAATTGGGGGTACCCAATTTTCAGAATTTTCAGACAAACCCATATGGATCAACTGAAACAGGTCCAACTGTGTTTCAGAGGAACGCTAATTGGTTTCCCCATTTGAATCTACAAAGGCACGGAGATGAAACAGATTCAGGAAGACTACGATATTGATTCTCCGAAAGATATGGAAAGACAAGATCTCAATCATTTCACCAGTTTATGTTGATGTGGGTACGGGTCAAACATGGTCAAACTATTGACCTGGTTCTGTAGTAAAAATGTCCAGCTTGTCGTTGGTCCATTGGCATCCCGTGTTGATGATTCACCCTGCGACAAGCCAGGCTTTGGCATCTTCGCTTCTTCGTCATAGGCAGGGCACCGAAGGACCCCAACACAAACACACATCCTCAAGGAACTGCAACATTTATGATGTGGCTTAAGATTGGCTCCTATAATAGGAGTTGTAGCGCCTTCGCGCCAGGGGTACAGCAGTTCATGTTTATCCTGCCTTTGATGGGTGTCTTTGACGTGTACCTGGGAACTCGATTCGATGAAGACAGCGCCCAGAAAAAGTTCAGCGGGATTGTTGCGACCCAGCTGAGACAGCAGAGCGTTGCCACAGCAAATGGAGCCAATATATCATAATATATCCAATATCCAGAATTGCACGATTCATGATCACCAAGCTGTTCTCGCCATTCTCATCCGGCATCATTAACCAACTAAAATCATCATAATGTCTACTTGGCTAAGGTGACTGTGAGCACCATGTTGGGCATGTGGACCTTCAAGTGCTTACTTCCGCGACTCGTCCAAACCAAAGTGACACCGCCAAAGTCACAGCGCCATTCAATGTGACCCGTGAAGCTGGTTGTGAAATGGTGTGATCATTTTGGTGTTTGATGTTTTCCAAGGGGTCAAGTCTCAGTCAGTTGGATAGCCGATCCAATAGATTTTTGGATGAGGTCCTTTTGACATCTTTTGACCCAGGTCAATACCTTTATGGCATGGGTTAAATTGTACTAAACCATGATGCCATCCACCATCAGAATGCAGGGATGGCTCATCCGCCAGGCTCATTACGGAGGGGCTCGACACACGAAGCCTGGGATCCATGGAGCATTTCCTGCTGTTCCAAATGATGGCCGCCAAGTTGTTGGAGAAGGTTTTACCCCTGGTGGTGTCTGGGCCGCAATGAAACAGAATGGGGAACGGGGAACACGAATTTCATGACAAATTCAGTAAATGGTTGTAAAATCATCACAATTGAGCTGTGTTTGATGCGGCATAGTGTCAAACAATACACATATGTTCACATTTTAATGATCAAGACAATGAGGGATAACTATTTTCCGGTCATTTTGGTGGTTTAAAGCATGGTTCCGAGCCAATCCCCTTAGAACTTGAACATGACTGAAGCAGCGACAAAAACCACACGAAAATCTTCGCAAAACACAACCTGGCCCAGTTGGCAGATTTTCAGGTACCTGGAGACTTCGAAGCCAACAGCTGGGTGATGCCACACGATATCTTCATGGAGGTCTTGACTGGATTTATTCTTTGCGTTCTGCAGCTGTCATTGGCGACCTTGGGTTTGCAGGCGATGATGGGTCTGTCTGAAAATGGGGGATACCGAATCAGTCTGGCAGTGTTCGCATGGCAATTAACGCAGAACATGATGATCAACACCATGATTGTTCGGGGCATCAGACAGATCCTAAATGATCCTAATATGGAGGTTTCCTAAAATAGAAAAAATGGGGGGATCCCCAAAACCATGGGTTTCATTGGGTTTCAATACACAAATGGTCTAGGATCATTGGGGGTACCCCCCATTTTAGGAAAGATCCATCAGTGACAGTGTCGTCTCAAAATGCCAGAAGCCTCAGATCAATCACTACCCACAGGCCTATGTCGCAGACGAGACCATGTATCCGAAGGTGGACTACGACTCGGAATTGCCTCCTGATGCTCTGATGCTATGGTCTCCTCGAAAGGATATGGATATCCTGGAATTGCATTCACACTGGGAATCAGCACTTCATATCAATTAAGATCAATTAAAATCAATTAACATCAATTAACTATGATAGACCCCGTAGAATATTCATGTCCGTGCAATGTTCTTTTCAGGGCGGTGAACATGTCTCAGGTCTAAGCGTTGACAGTTGAACCGCGGTGAAAAAACAAAACGGTGGTACCGATGCCCGCAGGAATCGCACCTCCTCTAGTAGGGCAATGCCCGATACAAAAAGCCGACAACCAACGCAACAGCGCAACTCAAAAGAAGCAGCATTTTCATATATACTGTACATATACTGTATCATATATTTGCATCATTCTTCTATATACATGAACATTGAAAGATATTAAACCCCTGTGCCAAACATAGAAACCTGACCATCCCATCCTATGGTTTCAACATGTTTCAGCATGTTTCATCACTTTAAGGACACCCTAGCAGCGCTTGACATGAGTGGCGTGGACCCTCACAAGTGGCGCCGCTTGGACAACTGGGCTGTTGCAGCGGCAGCGATCTCAGCTGCATCTGACTCAACGTCGGCTGCAGCTGGTCCTTTGCTGCTGGGCCACAAGGGACCCAACTACCGGAGAGTCGAGGCGAAATTGGCAACCGGAAACAGAGGGGAAAATAGATGAATTAGAATGAACATTGCGACAATGCTTATGATTTGTGTGTTTTTATGTTGTAAATGAGGCAAATGCTTGCCCATATTGAGGTTGGTTGGGTGTTGCCGCTACAAGATTGGATTTCCGGATAAAGGGATGTTCAGACCAAAAACTTGTGGAAACACTGCATTAAAAGGACCCCAGAGGCAGAAATTCGATGAATTTTGGCACCATTTTGAAAACGTACTTTGTAGGTATATGCAGCTTGTTGGATTTGAAGGATTGAAGATTACCGATGATTAGGTGAAGTATTGTTTAAGTGAGTAATCAGACGCTTTATCACTCCTATTAGTTATGACAAACAAAAACATGCCATAGATTTCTCCTTTCAGGTGTTTGGCAGAAATCCAGTGGGACACTTGCCATCCGTTGGTGGATAACTCCGCCAGGGCCAGAAGCCAGCTGCAGAAGCGCCAGAGCAGGAAGAAGCGGATGTGTAGAACTATATAGAACTTTAGGCTCGAACATCCTTGGGGATTCTGTGCATTTGTATGCATTGTATGCGTTTGTGATGTTCTGTAGTACATAGCAAGACCTGGTGATGACTTGGGGTGAGCGCCCTTTCGCGCCCGGCGGCCGATTCTTCGCCTCTGGTAATGACATATGGAAAATCACCATTTCTAACGGACGAAAATCATCGAACTAGATGCTGAGTAACTGATGTAAATGAGCCATTTCCATAGCTCAAGACAGACTATCACTATTTATCACTTCCTACAGATGGCAATTGCATGCAATTGCATTGCAGCTCCTTGGATGACCTTTGCAAGACCCAGCTTCCAGCTACAAGAGCTCGGAAAAGTGCAGGGTTTTAAGCTTCTGAAATGAAGTGAATTCATGATATTCATCGACCTCGTCAAGTGAAACATCGACTTTAGACACTTTGAGAGTTCAATTTATATTTCAATTTTGATCCACGCAAGCTGCGTGAAGGATGGAATGATATGGAATGGCAAAAGATGGACCCGCTGTTGGGCAGTGGGACAGTGCAATTCGCCAAATGGCGGCAAGCTTGTGATCAACCATTCGATTTTGGGATTTTGAAAACAGCCTGTTTTCAGACTCCCCATTATCACATTGATCTATTGATGCAGCATGTGCAGCTCATCCCCTGAGGCAGGCAACAACGTGCCAGCCGTGGCCTTTTTGGGGTGGCCCCTGTTGCCCTTTTTGCCTCGACCCCAGTCGAAAATCCTCACCTACGTTCCTTGGCGGCATGGTCAAATGCCTTGGAGGGGTTCCTTAACGGGTTCTAGATGTTCTTGTCATTCTAGTCACTGGGTTATAAATGGTTCTAAGATGCTACAAATTATTATCGATTGGTTATACATAGCCTAATACATAGCTATAAATCGCTATAAGTAGCTATAAATGGCTGTTAGCGGTCATAACATGTTATAAAATGTTATAAGGTTATAAGTGGAAAAGGGAAGCATGTGGTTCCTCAGCTTCGAGAGATGCGACTTGTTTGGTCAATTCATCTTCACGTTTCGAGAGCCTGCGATAGCATCTGTCATTTTTTTTGAGTGTCAAAAAACGGATCCAATTCATTGAACACATATTTGTAATGGTAAATCAATGAATCATGGTAAACACACACATTTGATATCGTTTAATCGAAGGAAGTTTAGAAGTCAAAGTTCCGACAATATGGACAGATGAAAAGCAGAGGTGAAAAGAGTCCGAGAAGAGAAGAGAAGAAGAAAGAAGATCTCGGAAGAGAAAGAGTCAGAAGACAGAAGATGCAGGTGCGGGAAAAGGTAGAAAAGTCGCGAAACACTTTTTTTTCCAATGATTTGTGGCTCCGGAGGGTCGAAAAGTACCTCGCTAAAGCGGCGGGTGCGGAGCCATGTGGCCAGATGAGAGATGAAAAATTGCACGCCGTTGTGACGCGAAGCACATTTCGAAGTCAAAATGTACAAAACACTTCAGCTTCGGAGCACACTTTTGGAAGTTGAGGTGTCGAAAAAGTGCACGCCGTTGTGGCGCGAAGCACATTTCAAAGTCAAAATGTACAAACCACACCATTCTCGGACCACTTCTGGAAGTTGAGATGTCGAAAAAGTGCGCCCCGTTGTGGCATGTTGTGGCGCAAAGCACATGTCCAAGTCAAAAGTAAAAAAACTGAGGGGTACGGAACACTTTTGGACGTTCAGATGTCATTTTGCGTGGCAGGCGCAGGGGATTGTGTGCCTTGTCAAGAGTGAGGAAACGTGAGGGTTTCGGAGCAGTTTCAAATACAATCACCACTACACTACACTACACCACACTACACTACTAACTACAGCTACAACTGCAACTGCGCTACGTTACACTACGCTACACTACACTAATTACACTACACTACACTCCACTTCACTTCACTACACTACACGACACTCAATTGCACTACACTACAACCACAACTAAAGCTACACATTACACAACACTATCTACACTACACTACACTACATTACACTACACTCCACTGCGCTACACTACAACTACAGCCACAACCACAACTACATAACACTACACTACGTTCCACTTCACTCCACTGCACTACCTTCAATTACACTACACTACGCCACAACTACAACTACAACTAAAACTACATTACGCTACACTAAGTATATTACACTACACTACACTACACTGCACTGCACTGCACCGCACCGCACCGCACCGCATCACTACACCACACTACACTACAAACTACAGCTACAACTGCGACTACACTACATTACACTACACTACACTAATTACACTACACTACACTCCACTTCACTTCACTACACGACACTCAATTGCACTACACCACAACTACAACTAAAGCTACATTACACAACACTAAGTACACTACACTACACTACACTACACCACACCACACTACACTACACCACACTTCGCCACACCACACCGCACCACACCACACCACACTACACTAACTACAACTTCAGCTACAACTACAACTACGCCACTTTACACTAAACCACACTAGGCTACACTAAACTACCCTACATATCCCTACATTACATTACACTACAGTACCACCGCAAGCGCAACTGCAACTACACTACCCTAATTACACTAGACCACAACTACAACTCCACTACACTACAACTACAACTACAGCTGCACTACACCACACTACATCCAGCAGTTGTGGGTGAGGTGACCAACCAAACAGTTGTAACCATTTCAAAAAACACAACTCCAACCACCTTTCAGTCCATCAGTGGATTCGCTCTGCCATCCGTGATTCGCGGCCACCAACCTCTCCTATAGGTTTCCCATTTCTGAAACTTTCTTCGCCGCCTTGTGCGGTACTACTAGTGTCATTTAATCGCATATATAACTTTGTACTGTTATATACCCCATTGAATACGCACTTACTGTATATACCATCCAGTGGCGGTCAGGTGGGTCCTGGCATCGACATGCCGCAGATCGACTCACCGTCGCAAGAAGATGTGGAACGTTGGCACAAGGCCAGGGCCGGAGAAAGCGCATCTCATCATTGGAAAGTAGGATGGGTAACTGATAAAAAGTATATATATAAAAGATAGTTACTGTAGCCCTAAATTGAAGTAATTCACCACTATTCTAATAGGAATCAATTTTTCTATCTTTTCAGGAGTTGCTTTGGATACGGTGAAATTACATGAAATATATTGAGATATCCATCTGTGGGTTGCTGAAATGAGATTAACCATGTTTAACCCCCCATGAAATGCTGACGGCGGCTCACACACACACATATATATATGTATACATACATGAATATATATATATACAATAGGAGGTAAAGCAATAGCAATCTTTGATTTTAGATGTGAATGTATTTATAGGTATATTATATATAATAGTAAATATTGTTGCTTTGAGAAACCTCCACTTCATCCTGGCCGTAATCTATTGCCATTGTTGGTAACTTCAAGTGCAGCGAACTTACAGCTGGGGGGTTTAGGCATCTATACATACATACATTATATATATATACACTGTATATAGATACGGTGCATATATATAAATATACATATAACTATATATACAAAATGAATGTTTAACGTTTCTAATATCTAATATCTTTGAAGGCACTTGAGGTACGGTGCACAGCTTAAAAGCGAAAGGTCTACGCCGAAGCTCTGCAGAGACTCTTCGACGAGAACAAGGCGCCTTCGGGGCCCCATCTGCAGGTGATATTCATAGGTGTTTCCACAAATGGCAAATAGCTGGATGATTTAGGGGTACTCCATTTTAGGAAACCTCCATATATATATATAAATAATATGTATACACACACATATATATATATTTATTTATGAACTCTATGAAAAAAGGATTGGCGAGAGGCTTAAGCTTACCAAACTCTGGCAGAGATCCCAAGCTGATTCCGTACCACCATTGATGTTTGCAGAAAGAAAGGACTCTTGAGATTTGACAACTGACAGTAACTGACATGCCAAGATCTTCCAAGTCCAAAAAGCTGAACATGACGTGTGCCTCTTGGTTCGTGTCAGTTGGGGGTCAACACAATTCAACAAGCCTAGCAGCTCAGGCCGCGGCCGGCTACCCAAATGCCAAGCTGGAAATTTTGTGACCTGCCGTTCCCACCTGACCCATGTTCCGTGGCTGGTCAAACCATCCATGCTAACTAGCTATGGTACTTTCGGCATAGATAGGGACACCAGACAGAATCCACGTTGAACAGTCTGGTTTTGCCCCTGGCACAGCGATTGGTGTCCAGTGATTGGACCATTGACAAGATGAATGTGGGGAACATACAGGACATCATCCATTGAAATATGCAAACATAAGTACGGCTAGTAGCCAAATGGAGCCATATGGATCCAAACCTATTTTTCTCTTAATTTAATATAGAAACATGATGAGCAACTCAGAGTTTCTTCAGATACTGGCATCACTATTTTTTTCTCGCAGCTGCAGAACTCACGATGCCTTTTCCCATTGTCACATCTGTCACCACTTTTGATGCATGATAGGCTATAGGCATTGTCTGATTGAAGAGATGTAGGTCCTTGGATGCGCTGCTGTGCGTAGCAATTTTTCAATTCTTTGAATTCTTTGTAGCTATCTCGGCTCTCCGAAGGTTGGTCAAATGAGGCCAACTCATGTGGTGCCCTCACTGTGCACACTTATGTAAAGCGATTCTGTAGCAGGTTGCACATTGTGATGAGAAAAAAGGGTGATAAATTTTGAAGCCTTTGCTAAAGGGAGCTTTGGGCGATCCCTGCATTGTGATGGATAGCAAGGTATCCCTACCTCTTAAGCGCAAAGTAGCTGGTGATCTGCTGTCAGGTTCTGCCTCTCAACCTTTTCCTGCAGACAATTCTGAGCGCCTCGGCAAAAGTTAGCACTGCAGGGCCGATAGAGCACAAGTGAGCCATGAAAATGCCCCGGTTGATTGGTTATTATAGCTTATACTAACTGATTTATTAGGGTTAATTATGATAAACCATAACAGGGATACCTGTTTAGCAACCAGTAGTTCATAGGATGAGAAAAATCTGAGCTATTTTTCACGGCTCAAGTGGTCAGAAACGGGTCGGCCTGGACATTCCCACGGGGAAGCTGCTTCAGGGGTCATGATTCATATACATACGTACTAAGCCCAAAAAGACAGAACAGTACTTTATCATACTTTATCACTATTTCTGTGGAATTTTACTGTCCTACCTTCTTGGGAGTTGCTCTATGGTGTAGATAATATTATATCATTATAAATACATTTTATGATACTATAATATTATGATGTATATCAGCTTTGGATAGAACTTTTCTGCAACGCAGGTCATCCGCACTGAGGCTGTCGAAGCAACCTCGAACCTTGGAGGTAGCTGCGAAGCGCACGAAGCAACAAAGGCACGGCTGGATTGAATGGGGTATAAGGAGATATTATGGTATATAATATTTATATTGGTACTTACTGGGTATAATGATATAGATATCATGGGATATCTAATGCCAACAATATGATCTTTCAGTGTGCGTGTGTGTGGGTATGAAAATGGGTGATCTATCCCAAACTTATGGCTACGGATAAGGATGATTACAGTAAACATTGGTTTGAGGGGTAATCACACTTTTTTCAGAAACCCAAATGTCACAGCAATGGTAAAGTGGCTGCAAAGAAGAGGTTGGTAGGTACGTGCAATACTTCTGGGCACAAGGGTTTCAGAATAGATATTTGGAACTCTTCCTGGTCAAGTGTACGCATGGCTCACATGTCCCTCCTGCCAATGCTCGTTTTGTTTTTGATGAAATTTGTTCGGCTGGACCTGGGAAAACAAGCGCCAATCGCTAACAACTTGCAGTCCTAGCTTCCTGGAACTTTACTAGTAGCTTGAATCTTCTGGTCCCCTCTGGTTCTACAAAATTGAGTATACTCAAGTTATATTCGGATAATGTATATTATATATACTGTATATTTATATGATATAATGTACGATATATGATACTGTATATTTAAGGTATATATAACATCTTCAGCCATAATTCCTAAGTTGGTGAATCCCCGAGGCCGCCATCGCAATCACCTGCTGAAGCACAGGCCTCCCAGGCTGCTAAGGACAGCAATGTACCAAGGGGTACCCTTGATCAAACTGGATGGCTGGGAAATCCACTAGACATGTGTAGGTTTTATAGGAAAATAGTCTATCAGACTATAAAAACAGTGGGGGAGTTTCTCATTGCCATGTTTTATTGCCGGGGGGTTTGAGAAAAACTTTTTGATATGATCAATATATGTATATATAGCAAAATGGGGGATATTTACCGATCCCGATATCGTAGACATAAGGCTATGGGAAGTGGAGAATAAAACCACCCAAAATCACTACCTCTTGCTCCTCGTTTTCCACCTCACCATCACCATCACCATCACCATCACCGTCACCATCACCATCACCATCACCACCACCACCACCATCACCACCACGCCACCACCCGCCACCCCACCGCACCACCGCCACCGCCACCCACCGCCACCGCCACCACCGCCACTGCCACCGCCACCGCCACCACCACCACCAGCACCTGCAGCACGTGCAGCACGTGCAGCATCTGCAGCACGTGCAGCACCTGCAGCACCTGCAGCACCTGCATGTGCTCGTCTGTTGGTCATGAACTGCGTCAAATCCATTCCGCACTGACATGCGAGGAATCTTCTGCGCAATCTTGCGCATGTCAGAAACTCAATGGTCAGACATGAGGCGGAAGCAAGGTGTTCACGGCCCTCAGGTCGTTATTGATACTTGCTGATATGTCGATAATATGTATAAATACATGTTGATATATGAGCGCAATTCGCAGTGCAAAGACGCCCTGCGTGCATACCAAGATTGCTCAACTTACTACTCTCTGAATCATTTTGGACTCATATCTTTGATGTTCTTGTCGGAACATCTTTGATATCCTTAAGTTTCAGCTTTGAAATCTAGTCGGCTAGCTCTTTGCGCAATGTGCTGCCATTGGTGTCACTGAGCATTCTGCCATGAACATTTCTGTCACCTCCTGGCTTGAGGTCGTAAGCGAGACCAACGCTGCAGCTGTCCTCAGCAGTGATTGGCGCATCTTGGCCTGCAAGCAGCGCACTGCGACATCTTGCATTGTAGTTGACGAACTTGATATGTTCAATACAGACCTGAGTATTTGATGGCCCGCAGGCGCACAATGAAACCCGGCAGAAGGCAACAGGCATGTCCTTTTCCTGCAGGTGTGGTCACTTTGGTGCATCTAATTCGTTGGAACTTGAACAGCTGTTTATGCCCTCTGGGCTGACCTGACTACCGTCCCGGCAAGGGAATAACGCACGACCTCTAGGTATCTAGGAACTGAGTTCTGTTTTTAAACTAAACTAGTCCCCCATTTGGTCCCTAATTTCCCTCCCTTCGCGGCTTCTCCGTAATGTGTTGTGGGGTTTAGGTGTGTGCCCTGTTCCTTGTCAGGTCCGTTTCGCCGTGTAGGTTGGTTCCGGAGGTCCGTCTGTTCCCTTCCCCCCCTGCGCTGTTTTGGTCGTTGGCCCGTCGTTTGTGTCCGCTTTTCTCTTCCTCTTGCCTTTCAGGGTTGACCCGGCTCCGGCCGGGTGTGTGTGTGTGTAACATCTGAATAGATGTAAAACTTCTCTCTTTTTCTTTCTTCTTTCCTCTCCCTTTCTAATAGTAATTATAATAATGCAGGGGGCCACCGGGGTCCCGGGGGGTCGGTGGCCACCGAAGACACCCCCCCGGGACCCGTGTAAACGTACCTGCATTATCTTTTTTAGGTCTAATTGCCTAGGCTGGTTTGCATGTTACAGGACTCAGTTCCTGACGGATCTTTTCAAAGATCCTTTCTTGTCTAGTGTGTGTGTGTGGGGATCAATGTGACCTGTGCAAACAAGGAAGACATTATATAATGAGACTGATTGGGTCAAGAGAGTGCTGATTGGATGGGTGGACGTGGGGGGGCCCACCGATTTTTGAGAGGTAGGCGAGGATGATCTCTCAAGGATTTACAGGTTGGGTTAGTGACGGCGTACCCATTTTAAATTCACTGAGTCAAGTCTGTGGGCCTTTGCCATCCAAGTTGGCAGGATAACGGCATGAACCACAATGCCACGCTGGATCCTGAGAGTCAGGCCTGCACCGCGCTGGCAGATAACAGCTAATAACAGCTAGCAGCATCTTTGACCAACGTGACCTGCCTGCATCACAGAGGTTTAAACTACACTCACATGTGATTAGCCACATAAAAATCCATGATGCACAGAATATGGTCGAAGCAACTTGAGGCGTGTCATAGCGTGTGAAAAGGAACATGTTCCTTTGGGACTGCAGCGTAGCTCAGTACCTTCCGGTGGTTCCTTCTAGATCCAGTCATGTTGACACCTACCAGCACGCTACCATCAGGCCGGGAGCTCACTTTCAATCTCTTTTTGCCAGGCACATGTGTGCGGGCTTGACTTCATGCAGCCTTTGGCACCTGCAGCACCTGCAAGCACCTGCAGCAGCTGCACCTGCAGCACCAGCACCAGCACCAGCACCAGCATCACATCATCATTGATCATTACCATCATCATCACCATCACCATCACATCATCATTGATCATCACCATTACCATCACCATCCTCATCACCATCTCCGTCCATCACCACCTTCACCATCACTATTATCATACTCATAATCATGACCATTGCCCTTATCATCAGTTTCATCCTCGTTATCCATTTCGTCTGCTTGTTCTTATAGGGAAGGCTGCGCCACAGAGCATACGCACCTGATTTGAGCTGATCTTCCCGGGTTCGAAGAGGTGTTTTCATGTCGCAGGAGCAGAGTGAGCGACGGGAACGAGAGTACTTCAAGCCCTACATAGGTGGCAGTGGATGGTTTGCCGGAGGGGTAAATGCATGTATATTTCCCAGCCCCAAGGGTCCACTCAACTGGGAGAGATCATATATGGACGTGTTTTTTTTCCTGTCGTGGCATTTATTCTGCACTGTGCAGTACTTTGAGAGAGATGCGGTATAAACGTGAAACTAAACAATCAAACAATCATTCTCAAAACCTGTTCTACGTTTGCTGTTTCGTTTGCTGGCAGAGGCCGGACAGCGTTGCCGTTTGGTTCCAGTGTGCATGCTCTATTGTACACAGCGACGGGTGCCGGTTGGAACATGGCGTTGGCATTCTTGGTACCTTGGGCATATTGAAGCCAGGGTTCCTGCCAAAGACTGAGGGGATTCTTGAGAAACTTCAACGCCTGGGATGATGTGCCGAGGTCACGGTTGTGGCCTACATCCATCTGGCTTCTGCAGAGCTTCAGGGTGAGGCCAGGACCTCACCTGATATGGAGATGGGTCAAAAGCTATGAACTTACCAAGGGGAATAACCATTCAGCTATACCAACTATTTTAGATTACCGTCTGGGTACTAGGTTTTGACTCATAGCCATATAACTATCGTTCTTGTGGGAGGATGTTGATAGTGTTTGTCATCAAATTCATGGGCCTTTACTGCTAGATTTCCCTTGAAACATGAATCATCTGAAATCCATGCTGGGAAACATGATCGGACAGACATTTTTGCATTGAATACGGCAAATTTTTCCAACCTTGCATTTGTCAACACAATGACAAGGTATCTAGTTTGGACACACAGAGTTTCCGATGTTTCTGATTGTATGGCACTAATAGTTACCATTGACGATCAAACCTTCCATAGAAGACATATTTATTGGGCTTCGAGGTTCAAAACATTTTTCAGTGAAATTTGGTACCTTCTGCTTCAAGACTCAGCATCAAGGCGCTTTCAGCATCTGGTTGATTTGACCTTCCAATAGAATGGCAGATCCTATCTGATAGCTTGCATGTGAATGCTTTGCCGCTGTGGGGTATTGCAGGGGTCATTGCCCTTTTGGTGCGCTTTTGGTGTGCAGGTAGATGTTGCAACTTCTGGAGTTTTCTTGATGGATGTGCCGGAAGTGAAGGAGGAGCTTGGAGGTCTCTTGAAACCGTCAGATTGCAGCCTGGTTGAGTGATGTTTGTAGATATGTACCATGTGTATCCATCTGTACTCTTCACATAGTTTCAGCATCCGCTAGACCACACTGCTTCCAGCGGGTGCTTTTGTGTCGGGGTTGCTGAAAAACATTCATCACAAACTTGTTTGTGGTACAGGTGTTTGTGGTACTTACTTGCAGGATCATCCTGCTTAAGTAACTAGTGAATAACTGGTCAATAAGTGAGATTATAAATATATCACGAAAGGTAGCCTAGGCTTCCTGAGTTCTATGTACTTTAGGACTTATATAGAATGTATTGGTGGGAGCCCGTGGCTTCTTTCACTCAAGTTGATGCCCGAAAGAATCGAATCTAGATCTAGGGGGAGCCTATCGATTCCCACCTGGTCCGTCCTGGGCAAGCATGGCGTGAAGACATAAGATTACACGAAGTAGGGTGACGTGACATGGCCTAACAGGACATCACATGCGTGATCACATATTTATGTACAGATGTATTTTGAATATATTTACATGTGCATGTAATATGTTCTTGTGTGTAAATCTAAATACTCAGCTTCATCATCATGTAGCTTTGCAAATGTGAAGGAGCGCGCCAGATGTCTCATGATGTCTCATGCCCTTACGTTGGTCGACTTGCACAATACTGGATTTCTATAGACAAAAGTAATTTTTTCCAGGCAATGAAGACTTTGCGCCTGGTTATTTTTCAGCTGAGAGCCTCAGCAGTTTGATCCTCTGTTGATGTTCATGCGTATATCCCGATACATTAGGCCCATGTATAATATATATATATATATTATTATATATTATACAGATTATATATATACATATGATTATGTACATCTATCTCTCTCTCTCTAAATATACACATTACATACGCATATTCAATTCTACAATCATTCGCTTTTTTACACTGGCCCATGATCGACACGGAAGGATGGGAAGGTCACGTTTCAAATATCATTCAGTAAACCTTTTACCCAAATCAAAGGTTTGGGCTGGGAGATCTGTTGTATTCCTGTCTGTCTGACATAAAGAAGGTCCAAGCCGGGAAAATGCCTGAACGCCAGCAACTAGGGCCCTTACAAGAAAAGACTGGTGGCAGTGGAGGGTCATCAGTAAGAATGGAACAGAGGATCTCCGAAATGTACGGCAACGTCAACGTATTGTATAGGTGAATGAGACTTATTATACTTTATTGTCATGGAGTCATGGCATATGCATGGTGCAATATGACGCGTGTTGAGTGAATCGAGGAACAGGTGCCGTACCGAGGCCTTTCTGTATAATGAACTTGAAACAGGCCCATTATCTGGGCCTCCAAGGCAAAAATGAAATTGCTACGTCAAACCTAGTAAACTAAAGCACTAGAAGATACTAGAAGATTTCGAACATGCCCAATCTACTTTGCAAACCAGCCATCATTGAACACACATCCGCCGAAAACTTCCGATGTGGGAGCAATATTCGACAACCGAACCTGGCACTTTGAATGCGGAGTGGAAGCTTTGCTATAGCTACCGCAACCGAGTTGCGTTTGGTTGGGACGCTTTTGTGGTTGTTTTTGGGGCCGTCGCCCCGAGGGGGTCGCGCGCCTGTGCTGTTTTTTGGAAACCTGTCTTGTCGTTTTTCATGGGGGGGTGTGGGGGTGGGGGGTAATAACGTTCTTTTGTGCGCTGTTTGTTCATATGCGTGTCTAGATGCTTGTTCTACTCTATTGTAATATCTACGCCAACATTCCATTTATTCCCCCCCAGCTGAAATTATTGTGGATTTACATGGATTTACATGAAGTTTCCAATGACGTCCATGAAGATTCAATTCTTCAGCATCCGTGTGATGTTGGCTCCAGGCTGTCGCCTCTCCCTGTGTCTCTCGCTCTTTGTCGCGGGCAGGTTCCGTTGTCAAATCCGACTCTGCAGTTTCTGTGGTCTGTTGGGGCTGGTTGGATGATCACCTTTCGATTTTTTGTCGGCCAAGTGCTGGTGAGCGTTGGGTGTGTTTGGTCACCTTGTTGTCTTCGTCCGAAAGGGTTTTTGGTCTGGCGTTGTTTCTTCTTTGCCTACACTTTGGTCTTGTTGGTTGCAGTGGTTGCGTGTTAATCCGTTGCCAGAGCCTTTGGCATCGTGTGCATTGTTGCTGTCACGTCGATTTCTTTTTCCTGTCTGCCATTCTGTCTTTGCTTCCTCTGTCTATTCATCTTTGGAACGCTTTGCCGGGCGAGCAATAGAGCGACCTTCATCTTGCGCCCGACTGGTTGAAATGGAGCAACTGTTGCAATCGCAACCTAACAAAAAAACCAAGGAGTCCGAGTGCAGAACGCAACGCAGAAACTCGTTTCCCTTCGTGATTGTTAATGTTTGATTTTTGTTTTTTTCCCTTTTCTGTCGTGTTTTTTTGCGAAGACAGTTAGAACGTTTGGACCCTTGTATGGTACATGGGTATCTCTTTGAACAACCATGTAAGGAAAGTTTTGATCATCTTCTGGAACACATGGGAACATTGTCGCCTTTGAGAGTTGGCGATAGTCCGTAAACAAAGCGTTTGAAAGGCTGCCTGGTCCATCATGATATAGCATTGGAAATGATAGAATATGATATGTTGATATAACATGACTTAACTTATGATATGACATGTGACATGTAATAAACAAATACGTTAACATACGATATAATGTAACACAACATAATATGATATGACTTGATAGAAGAAAACCGCGCGACCCCCTCGGGGCGACAGTCCCTTGTACTCATCGGATACTTGGACACATCGTACTCCTGTGTTTTTAGCAGTGACGCACTTTTCATCACTTTTCTATATTTGCTAGGAATGACACTGCAACAGTTGGCAAGAGTCAGTTCCGTTAATATGAGTTCCGGCCATAAATAAAGATTTCCCCCCCGCTTTCGTGGAAGGTTTTTTTTGCTGCGTGTAATCATCAAGCAACATGGTTTTTGATCTGTCCACGGCACTGGCCACAGATCATGTTTTTCATTACAGCAGCGCATTTTCCACTTCTACTGCCCCACACCTACCTTTCGCCCCCCCCTCCTTTCAAGTTTACATATATAATAATATATATATATATATTATAATATATATATATATTATAATATATATATTATATATTATATATATATTATATATATATAACTATAACTACCCAGCTATAAATGGAAGTACCATGGATTGACCCATGATTTCATCACCAGGTGGCCGATCCTTGCGACGATTGCGTCGAAGTGCACAGGTGGCTCAGGTGGTCCCTAGCGTTGGGAGCCCTGAGGATTTCATGGTCAGGTCAAGTTGGGTACCCCAATAAAAACCCATGGTCCATATCATATATGGTTTATATATGGTTAATATATGGTTAATATATGTTAATATATGGTTAATATATGGTTAATATATGGTTAATATATGGTTAATATATGGTTAATAATGGTTAATAATGGTTAATAATGGTTAATAATGGTTAATAATGGTTAATAATGGTTAATAATGGTTAATAATGGTTAATATATGGTTAATATATGGTTAATAATGGTTAATAATGGTTAATAATGGTTAATACATGTTAATATCAAACATCTACATTTCAATGTGGTCCCTTCTGGGTCTCAACTGGCTTAGCTTTCTCTTTTGACCCATCCCCATTTTTCATGGGGGTTTTAATATGGTTAACCATGAACACATGTATGATAACATGATGAACATGGAATTGAACATGGTTTGACCATAGGATAAAATGGAACTGATAAATGATGGTTCATTGAGGATAATAGGGTGTTATTCCATCCAATGTATATTGGAGATTATCACCTTCCGTAATGGGACATTTCCTATTAAGCAATCAGTACACGGGGACGACGTCGGATGGGTCAATACTTGGAGGATCAGCCCACCAAAAATATTAAAGTGGTTAATAACCCCAATCAGTAAGTCCCGGATAAAACTGGGGTTATTATCCCATATAAAACATATAAGACTGGCTAACAATAGCCCAGCTACTGGGTCCATTTGGGTGGGATGATCCTCGAAGTACCTGGGTTACATCGATCAGGTCGATCAGCTTCAGCCATTTTGCAGGGCTGAATGACCCATTGCCAGATTGAAATGATTAGACCTGGATCCCGAGATGAGATCACCAGATGATTGCAGCTAGACTCACATGATTCCTACAGAACTATCTGTGGCAGAGATAATACAGCAAAATGCCATTGAGATTTGAGTAACTGTTTGACAAGCGAGCATGCCTGAGACAGATAGAGAATTCCGCTTGATAATCATCATTTTCATCATGTTCGCTCAAAATCACTATTTTGGAGGTCATTATACCATATTTTCAGACACACACACACACCAAACATATCACGTTGCTAAAGCGTGGCAGCATGGCTCCAGGTTGGGATCATTGCTCTGGGTGCCTACTTGTGGCAGAAGGGCGGCCCACATCCTTTGGAACATGCTGAGGTTGTTCAGGAGACCACTGCATGAAGTGTGTCTGGAAATAAGGGTTACCATGGGGATATCCTTACTCAACTTATACTGAACTTAATGATTGGCCATTTGAACAGTGAAAATGCATGAACATGCTGATAAACCAGTGGCTTAAGGGTACGAAATGTTCAGACAAGCCCAAGTAGAGAAGATAGTGGGATGAGATGAAAAGATGACATGGTCTGTGGGGGTCAGAAAAAGCGCACTCGCTAGCCCATAGATTTTGGATGATTTTGGCAATTTTGAGCATGACATATCACATGGAAAGAAGCATTTGAAGGACACAGGTCCAGTCGTAGTCTCAATCTGACAGCAAAGGGCAAAGGACTGCATATGCGAAGCTCCTAGTTACCTCTTACTGTGCCAGGAGCTTCCGGTTCACCCTGTATGGCTAGAGCCGAAGACCCAGCGGCGCATGGCCTGTTTGTTGGCTCTGTCATCGGTTGCCCAAATGATCCCAAATGTACAGCATTAATTTGACATGATTTGACCATATGCTTTTGGACTTCCCAACTTCTTCCGTCGTTCAGCTTCCATGGATAAATCTGAAGGTGCAATGGTTTCAATGTTCTCTCCGCTTGTGCTTACGACATCTCAATCCTAAGTAAACTTACCTTTGAATAAGCCCGAGTTGCACCCCGCTATTCCTTTGAATCCCTCACACTCAATTTTTCTTGCCCATACAATTATAAAAACAGCTAAGCATGCTTCAATCATCAACACCCCCATTTTTTGCGGCATCATCATCTCACCATTTTTTGCTGACAGTCGCACTATTTTGCTGATAAAACAGTTCACCTCCATCTATCTCGGTTCACCTCACTGTAATCTTCATTTTTCCTGATTCTTGATGGTTCAACATGGTTCAACAGCCATTTTTTTTCCAAGGAACTTCCCCCAACGGTGCCAGGTCACCCTCCCACGCACGGTGGCCCTTTGTTTTGGCGGCCTTAGCCTTTGCGGCGGCACTGCCCATTTTGCGGCGCCGGCGTCAGGCCAAGGCAAGGCCGCTGGGTGAACATCAAGCAATAGAACTGGGCCCACGTTGTATGGGTAATGCCATCTATGGGTAGTTCCATCTATATAATTGTGGTAATTACCCAGTTGTATGTAGAAGTAGTGGGCAATTGACGTCTCTGGGTGCCACATATGACCACTACTCTGGGTATTAGTCCAAATCAAGCAGTCGTCATAACTACTGTGTAATTGACCACCAAAAAGATAGAAAAGTTATTTACGACTTTAGCAATTTGTCTTTTCTATCTATTATGGGGATAGAATGGAGATTTACTGGGGTAAGGTAATGGTGCATAATGAGACAACATGAGAGTGTCTGAAAATAGGGGATTCACTTGCCAATTGGTCATTTTTTATGATGAATATCATGATAATTCATTAAAATTACTGAAATCAGATTTGATTACTCCATTTGACGACATATCTGGAGTCAATTTCTTAGACAAAGTCAGATTGTTGGAATTTCTGATGTGTTTGTACAGGGATATGGCGGTCCATTGGTCCCTGAATTTAGACCTTTTGGGTTACACCAAACTGATGTCACTGTGCAGCTAAGTCAGTGTGCAATAGATATTGATAATATTTGCAGATATAGATATGTTATGTTAATTATTTTCAAGGTAGTCCAAACAACAAACAAACAGATAGACCATGATAGACCCAAGGAATGTGGCAAGACTCCCAAAGCGCCGTGCAGTGAGGAAACTGTGCCGAAGACCAGCCTTGTTCCTTTGGCTTCCAAGGCGGGTATGCTGGAATTATTGGGGGCCAATTCAGAGAGAATACCTGTTGAGTAGAAGAAACATCGCTGCTTTTACCGTCAAGCGTTTGATGGAATTGATAAACCTGTTCATGTGCGCTTTAAGATTAGGAAGATTAGCTGTAGATAAACAACAATGTAAATCATCAGCAATCGAAAGTGATACGGCAATAACAATGTTCTTCTGCAAGCATCTCCAAGGCTGTTTAGAGTCTCAGTTTTTTTTACTCACGTTTTGCACTCGCCATGCAGGTGGGCAGTGGCAATCCAGGAGATCCCAAGGCCTATGATGGCATTATCCTAAGAAGGGAAGGCTCTTGGTACCTGAACGGATCATCTGGCAAATATAGTTTTGATCCATCTTCTGGATGGCTCAGTGGAGGAGGTGAAAAACTGGGGCGTTTCATCTGCAAACAGATCCAGGATAGACCTCTGGAACTGCCGGTCACCAGCTATTCCAAGCTGGCCAGCAATTTTCAGATCGTCTCCTCTGAAATCATGCTGGAAATCCAGAAACCGGAGAATGCTGGGGCACTCTTCGTGTTGCCCTCCCAGCTGAATGGCGCGGAATATCCTTCACATACGCATGTGGTGAAGTATGTGGAGGAGTACAAGTCCGACAATACAGGCTGGCTTGGTTTCGTTGCGTGTTTTTCTAGTGGCAAGTTGGTTGTAGATATTGTAGTCATTCTTCAAGCATTTGGCGGTTTCCTGAAATGGGGGTGTACCCCCAAATCATCCATGTTGATCATGTTGATAGGATTTTCCATGGAATGATAAACCTGAATAAACCATTTATCGGGTTTCCGTGATTCTGGAAACCCCTATTTCTAGCTTCGAAGCATGGCCAAAGATGATGCCAACAGATCACTTTTCAGGTGGTCCTCGGGGGCAGCTTGCGGTGCACCCGGCAGCGGCTCAATTTGTGTTGGACAATGCGTCCAGCAACCTGGGGCCGGGCATCAACGCGGTGGATGAGATCTTGAACATGCTGCCGGAGGACAGGGGTGGTGCCCATTATAGGTACCCTCCCCGGCCAAACAAACATAGATGTGGAAAACCAAGTATTTCCCGATCATTTTCCTGGAAAACCATGGATTTTCCACATCTATGTCAGTTTACCCTAGGGTAAATGATAGTCACAGGAATTTGATGGGCATTGGACATTGGTCATTTTACCGATAGACCCAATTACCCCCGCAGCTGGGGGTGTTGGGAGCCCTGGAGGACCTTGAATTAGTCAATGGATATTTGAAGATCCACGATTTGAACGATGGCAAACCAGAGACTGAGACTTTAGAACGGCTGGTGAAGTATTTGAACACTTTGCGGCCCTTGATCATGGAGGATGTTCCAGCCACTGGTTTGTTGCCGGACAAGAAAGGCTTTGCCGAGTGCAAGCACAAAGTGGGCTTGGTCTACGCGTCAGCAGTACCTGTTGACTCATACATGAACCAAGGTGGTCAGGTCGATTTCCAGGCGAAGGTGGCTGAGTTGATTCTCATTGGCCAATACTACGGAGCTTTGAAGTACGCCGCTGAAAGCCAGAGACACGGCGGAAGCACGGGAAATCGCAGGAAGGTCTTCTTGATGCCTCTGGGAGGAGGTGCTTTTAACAATCCCTGGGACATCATTGCAACTTGGAAGATCTTGGAAGAAGTATGGATCTTCACAGGAATTTTAATCAAACATGCTGTTTGATTCTTTTTGATAACATTCATAAACATTCTATCATTTCATACTGCGAGACAATGTTTGGTACATAGATCAAAAATATCGACACCACCAAAGCTTCGAACGAAAAGCCAACAACTTTTTGAGTCCATTGAATAGCCCAATAATGTGAATAGATGGTGATGGCTCATGGTAAATCGTTGTTGGACCATGTGGACTGTCGATTGAGATGCCCAATTTTTCAGTCGGTGACGACCTGACGGCCTTCTGAGGCGAAAAGCATGGCAAAGGCCATCCAGTTGTTGGACAATAGCCTTCTCTCGATGCTGGACATTACGGCCCTGGTGTGGCAGGGGAACCCTTCAGAGGAGCAGAAGCTGAAGATCATCCTGGGAAAGCTGAATTCACAACCGGCTGTCTGCAGCTCAGGGAGTAAATTGTGATAAATTGTGTATTACAGCTACATCAAAGAACAGGACGTATGATATCATCAAAAAGTTTTTTCAGTTTTTTTATTCGAAAATCAGACCCAGACACTTGTCAAACGCATGTAGTTCCTTGTATGGGTCAAAACTTGGAGGCTCAACAGTCCACCAAGTCTTTGTCATGTTGAAATCTCACATCTGATCCAACTGTTGGCTGAAAATTGGGATGGTCTGAAAAACAGAATAACCCAAAATTTCATGCATGGTTGACATATTATATACTCATTTCCCCAGAAATGTGACATGTTTGTTGCCCATACCCTATTTTTAGACACCCATGCTGGCCCATACTCCATCGTCAAAGTCACCCATCTAGGTATCCATGACCTTGCAGCCACCTGGTGGAAAGACGCACCTTTTCAGGCGAGCAACACGGTGACATTTGCAGACTCCTGGGTTTCACCAACATTTGTTACAGGCCAGAATTTCAAGAAGGAAACCTCCCTCTTTCGGCAGCATCCTGCATGGATTCCATGGATTCTGCTCATGACGCTCAGGATTGCTACCGGGCAGCCTGACGAGGACCAAAGTTGCCCCAAAGCACAAGAGACAAATATAGATAGATCATGTAATGAGGTAATCAACGGTATTAAAAACCCAATAATACACCATTCCTGTTTATGGGGTTTATAGTTGGGTATACAAAGGTATACCCAAAAAACATGCTTCGTAAATGGGGCCCGGGGGTATGTTTGTCCTCGACGAATGATTTAGATTGTGTCATAGAACTATCCACATGATTAGACATAAATGGTGTATAAACCATCATTATTATGTTTATGGTTGAAACCATTGGATAATCATAATTTAACCAGTATTATGGTTTATGTTTATCCAATGGTTTCAACCATCCCACAGATCATACTGTATTGGTTGGCGGTCCACAATGGATTGCCAATTGGATCATTAGCATAAAAAAAATCACCATTGGACTGGTATTGCAATGGTCCAACTGGTAATCCATTGGATTGTAAGAATTCATTGATTGGTATAATACCATTAATAAATATGAACCATACGCAACCATCATATAGTAACCACTGACAATACTGTTAATTCCAATCTGTCTATTCATCCCATCGTTATGGCATTGGTTTTACCACCAGCATCTCTGGTCATTGCTGCAGGAACCTGAACCCCATTTCAAGCGGATGATGACTGACTTGTCAGAAGTCTCGGATAGGCAAACTTGGGGCCCGTGGGGAGCAATCATTCATTCACTTTGATGTTTTTTGGATGGCTATCCTAGAGCAGATAAAAACAGGATTTAGTATGATTTATTCTTGACTCTACATGATTCGCTTTTACTGGAATGTGATTGGAGAGTGAACGCTGTTCCAGTGAACGTCTTGCTGGGTTGCTGGGTGACCTTGCTTTTCTTCGGAGGCCTCTGGTCTATGATGAGCAGACGGTCCCTGGATGAAAAAGACCTCCGTATTGGGGAGCCAAAGGGCTATGGCATTGGGTGAGAATATGAGGATATGGTGTAGCAATGAACAGCTATGGGGTCATTGCAACCATCAAATTCTGCTGATGTAGACCTGGCAAATTGTGACATATTGTAACCATGTGCCAAGATATGAAGTTGGAACGCAAGGGTACCATTATGAATTGACCAATACCATGGGAGAGATGATGTGCATGGTACCCTGCCGTGGAAGGTTGGTGAACCATGGTGAACCCCAGTTTTTGCGCTGTCGGTCCATCCGGACTTGAAACAAGGGGGTTACACAACCAACTGGGCACCCGCCTTCAGGAAATCTTCCGCATGCAGACTCAAGATGCATCTTTGGCAGGTGGGCAGGCATTGATCGTTTTGAATCATTGCGAAATATACATGACCATTCTCGTTGTGCAAGGGTGCAACCGCGGGCTATGGAGAGTTTATTTGATTCAGCTTTGAACGTTGAAGACGTGACTCCAATATGCATTTTGCGAAGACTTGGTGGTTCATTTGAATCCCACCGTTTTATGACTGGTCGACATTTGATTTTGATGTGGATGCTCAAGAAAAATACAGAAAGCCACTGAGTCTCCTGCTTGTACCCAATATATCAATCAATTAATGAAATGCAAGCAAACAATACTGCAGCACTGACCTACATTTGAGTTGTGCCACAAGAAGGGGGTTTTGATTGAAGGAGACAGTCCTCGACTGGTAAGCCCTCGACTACAAAGCTCCCGACCAGTTATGAACAAAGTGGACGAGGGAGCTGAAGAACAGGCTGAGGACGCAGCAAAAGAGACCGAAGGAGCGAAACAAGCAGCAGAGGCTGTAGAAAGGCCAATTCGTATTTCTCCAGGAGAGGCCCTACAGTCTCCTGAATCAAAGACGAAATCACACGCAGAAGCTAAGCCTGAGGAGGCGAAGAAAGCAGAGGAGGCCAAGAAGGCAGAAGAGGCAGCAGAAGCTAAGGCTGAAGAGGCTAAGAAAGCGGAAGAGGCCAAAAAGGCAGCAGAGGCTGCAGAAGCCAAGAAGGCGGAGGAGGCCAAGAAAGCAGAGGAGGCCAAGAAGGCAGCAGAGGCCGCAGAAGCTAAGAAGGCGGAGGAGGTCAAGAAAGCAGAGGAGGCCAAGAAAGCAGCAGAGGCTGCAGAAGCTAAGAAGGCTGAGGAGGCTAAGAAAGCAGAGGCCGCGGAAGCCAAGAAAAAGGCTAAGGAGGCCAAGAAAGCAGAGGAGGCCAAGAAGGCAGCAGAGGCCGCAGAAGCTAAGAAGGCTGAGGAGGCTAAGAAAGCAGAAGCTAAGAAGGCTGAGGAGGCTAAGAAAGCAGAGGAGGCCAAGAAGGCAGCCGAGGCTGCAGAAGCTAAGAAGGCTGAGGAGGCCAAGAAAGCAGAGGAGGCCAAGAAGGCAGCAGATGCGGCAAAGGCTGCAGAAGCCAAGAAGAAGGCTCAGAAGGCCAAAAAGGATGATGAAACGAAGAGCGCGTTTTTGGGCTCTGTTGAAGAGGTCTCTTGTTGGAACATGTGGAACCTTTTCTGCGTTCTCTGAATGATCTCTGTGTAAGACCTTCCTAATTCATTTAAGCTCACGTTTTTTTTCTTCGAGCGAAAGGAATTTATGTTGTTGGGGCAATCTGAGGCAAAGATGAGTCCACGCTTCGCAAAAGGCTGGGGAGAATCCGTACACTTCAGAATTAAATCTTGGAAACTCACGGGGGTTTTGCTTGCAATTGGTAGCACAAAGACTGGAGTTGAATGATGTTTTTACACATGTCTACACAAAAGAGGGGATCGAAAGTCTTGAAATTTGACCAATGTCCTTCTGATCTTGGCACTTCCATGCACTTTGGCAGAGCTCTGACAAAGCTTCAGAGGTGCAGCTGGGCTGAAATCAACGGAGGATGCTTGGATGCATTCCTCGTCCGTTCCGACAATGGGATGATTCTTGTGGTTGAGCCTGATTCTGGGGGAATGGGTCAAAATTTAGGACCCTCAAAACTTCCAACCCATCAACACCCAGTACATCTTAATAAATATATATATATATATATACATATCATGTATGTACACACATATGTATATATAATTATATATATATATGTATAATCATTGATCATACAATATTACTATATCATAATAATAGATAATCATAGCAATAATAATAGTAACAATATGTAACAATTAATAATAACAATAATTGATAATGATAAGATTATATATATATATATTTGTATATATATATAGATATAAGTAATGTAACTAAATATAATATATATATATGTAGATAAATAAAACTAAATGACTCTAAATGAAAATGGGTAGAACGTGTTTCACCGCCCCCACTCAGTGTTTTCAAGTATTCTATATGTGCACGTTTCAGAGATGTTGTGCACGTGTCACAGATGTTGTGCACGTTTCCGAGCAGTTGTGCACGTTTCACAGAAGTTGTCCACGTTTCACAAGCCCCCTAATAACGTTCGTGTTCAACTGTAAACACACTGAGCGCATTCTAATCAGCAAAAGCTTTGGGGCGACCAAACACAATCTCCCGAAATAAATAAATAAATATATATATTACATTTGGTATCAAAATACAAACATACCATTTTGATCCATTAATTCTGGGAGCCAATGTCGATCCAGGACCGGAATTCGACGCCGCGAGGTCAGCGTGTTTCGGCCAAGATTCTTGGAGACACAGGAGATACTCCAATTTTTGTTGAATGAAAACACCACCCCCCTGAAATTGTGTAGACTTGAGAGACCCCCAAAATAGCACACAATATTATACAATATGACAGACATGATGATTTTTGATGAGACAATGATGATAAGCCATAGGATTTTAGGTCGTTTTTTCCCAGATCACGTACCAAACTTGTTGACTCAGCGGATCTGGCACCACGCCTAGGACACCTGACCAGCTGCCACAGGACACTCCGCAGCTTGAAGATCTAATTGGCCGGAGTTGGATGACGTCTTCTTGAGGTTTCAATGGGAGTAGGTGGAAGTTCAGCCCATTTGCAATATGCCTTTTCTGGAATGAAGCAAAGACTTTGGATCTGAAACAGAAGTTTCCAGAAACATGGGTCTACAATTTGTTTCAGATATTTTCATAACATGTTATGAAGTAACCAGAAGTAAACCCATCCAGAAATTGGGAATCCAAGCGACCAACACCAAGGCGTCGCGGGTTGAACTCCAGCCTGGTTGGAAATCCTGGACAGAACATTCGACGCTTGGCGTTAGCGCCTGAGAAGTCATAGGAAGGAAATCCTTTGAGCCCAGGAGCGCACACACATATTACAATTATGATATAATGATATAACATATTAAATACATATCATATAATATGTATATATAGTGATAATGATAATATAATGGAATAATGATGATGATAATAATAAAAATAATTATTATATATATTATTATATATATAATTACGCTGTGTATTTATTAGATACATGTGAGTGACGCATTTCATTGGTGAAGAGTCGTCTTGGGGCGCACCCCGGTTTGTTGAAAACATATTTAGCTTGCAAAATGAGGTAGGAACATGCCGAGAACGAGGTGAGGCATTGCAGGAAACACATTTAATCAGCTATCAAAACAAGTGCCGCGTTGGAGCACAAGGTCAGGCCCCAAAAGACAGTACCGGAATGGAGAACGAGGTAGGAACACCCTGTCGATTGCATGATGTACCAAATACTTTCTGCGTATCATGTATATATATATATATATATACATACTATACACATGTATAATGTAATAGGATTTGTCTGAAAATGAAAACACAGCATATTCTCCATCATCATTTCGCCATCAAAACGGCAATTTTGGGGTATCTTCCATGTTTGGGTAAAGTCATGTGGTCATCGTCAACTGTTGTGCTTTGCGCTGAGGACAACTGGCACGTGCTTTGGAGATCAACCAACCTCCCAGCTATTCCCCCAACTCGAGTCGAGCTGGATCCCCTTCCAAGGCGACCAAGGATACCAAGGCGCGGCATGGCCATGGATGCCATACTTGCAGGGTGGGGGTACCCCAAATCATCCAAGTTCTTAGACTCTTAGACTATTTTAGTATTGAAACCCATGGTTTTGGGGATCTCCATTTTAAGAAACTCCCAGTTGAAAGTTTCTTTTTACTTGAATGATAGTTGAACGATCAATTTTATTGTAAATTAATGTATATTATAGATTATTAACATTTACTATACTATGCAGGGGTGAATAGAGGGGGCTTTCAGGAGCTATGGTTGTATCATGTTGTATCCAACTTTTCCCTATTTATGGGGAGCCAAGGAACTACTAAGGGTTTCCCAACAACATGCCGGCATATATAGATTATATATGTTTTGTGCAACGTGAGCTGTTAAAGCAACAAATTGTTCTCGAAGAATGTGATGATGAGTAATCAGCTCACAGTTGCAGACCCATACCAAGCTGTCTCCAACTCGAACAGTTCATGCCTGTTCCCGCATGTTTCTTCCGCACTTAAGTCCTGTGCCACTTTCCCTGCGTTGGATAGTCAGTTGATGTCGCCTTTTGTGGGAATTTGAACCCCATCATTCCGTGCACATCTAGTGAGTGACCTTACGCGAACAGGATGCTGGTTCCAAATGAGTGGAAGGAGCAGCTGCCCTGACGATTGGGTTGTTGAGTGAATTTCAATGGTCCACCTACTTGCTGCTCACAGCAAACAAGCCCAACGAAATATCTCGGGCTAGACAGAACATCCATGAGAGTCTGGTTAGCTTGCACTGACCTTAGACATATGGAGCAATGAGAATTGGATATTGCAACGGGGCCAGAAAAAGGACTACCAGAACTTGAGGATGTCTAATTCTATGTTTCAGTGTTTGGCAGTCTTTCCCACGCAATGTGGTAAACGCATAAATCATCATAGGGATAGAAATGAAATTGCAATCAACATTGCCAACAGCTGAAATGCCAAAACCGTGATTCCAATTAATTAGTTGCATATTGTATTCTTGGCAACGCTAGCAAGCGTACACATTGTGGAAGAGATGGCCAAGAAATTAAAGTGCGTTCTGTTTGCGTAACCGTAGATTTCAATTGTCAGATGTTTGTAGAGGTAAGGTGAGTGCCAGCTTCCGGTGATTCTGCACATTGATATGAATTATCTAATTTGAATCACCATCCTAACGCTACAAACATCTACTGCCAATCTTACCCACATGAAACAGGCTTCACATCCGCGATTGTCCACAGCGCAGGAGTCCAAGTTGAAGTCCCTGACGTGCCTTTTGTAGCACTGGGCAGAGCAGTTGTGTCCAAAGAGGCACGGAACAACCGACCGGTGCCCCTCAAGGGCGGCACTGGCAGCACCGTGGCACCGAGGTTGATCGCTGGTAACCACACCGCACAAAAATGACATGCGAATTGATGAGACATGAAACATCATGAAACCATGTGCCAGTTGCAGTTTGTGTTTCTCACCTGAGAAAGGGAGGTGTGGTAGTTGAGATAGGATAGATATATTGGATGGCATCGGCCAATGATAGGTCAATGATAGGTCCTTTTTACATTTCGGGCAGCTGGTCCTAGCGGGAAATGCCCCACTTCGATGGCTCGCTGCCCACACCACCGCACAGCATGGGCGAAGGCCTTGGTGCTCTCTGTTATCCACCAGTTGACAGGTTGGTTTGGTTGAAGTTTCAACATCTTTCGAAGATATTTGTTTACTTTAGGGTTTTGAACCCCCTGTTTTGGATGATGATCCCAAATGACTAACCATTTTTTTTTGCCTTTTCCTCCGGATCGGTGGAGCCAGCAACTTGTATTTTTTTTGCCGAGTTGCAACCAGGACGGCCATATCGAACAGAACTCACATGACACTTGGAATAACGTTGAGCGTCTGAGCCTGACGAATTTTCATCGTGCACTCAGAGCAAATGCTCCGGTTTCCGTGGTACATTTTTCTGGAGGTTGGGCAAAATGCTATCATATGGCGTGCCATGACTTGGACTTTGTGTAAATTGGCTCAAAAAAAATGATGCGATATGGCTGACCATGGATCCAATCTCCGTTCGAATTTCCAGCTCTTGGCTGCAATCCCGTTGTTTCAAAGCGCGCAGGAAAGCTTGGAAAGACGGTTCTGACAGCATTTTGGGACCTTATTGCCCATTACATACCCCCGTGATAGAAGATATTCAGCTACCATTTTTGTACCCCATCTTCTATGTTTCTTGTTTTCGGAAAGGCGTTTTTGGAAGAATCACATAGAAGATACTATGTCAAGATAGGGCCAAAACCAGGTCGGAAAGGATTTTGGAGCCCGCTTGGAGGACCTTGCTGCGGATCCATTTTTTGTTCTTCTATATATCTTTCCGGTGATTTTTGACCCCCATCTTCTATCTTTCTTTGATCTTCTATCTTTCCGGTCCGGGCCGTTATCTGCAGCCAAGACACAATGGAAAATGTCAGTTTCAGGGCTTTTTGCTGCTGCTGATGCCGCCGCTGCTGCTGCTGCTGGCCTGCTGCTGCTGGCCTGGTATGTCAGAAGATCTGGGGGTTAAAACCTAAAAAAAGACACTAAATAACCCTCGAGACCGGCTCTTGGAGGACTCTTTGCGACAAGGAGTATCTTCTATCTGTTTTGTTGATTTTACACCCCCAATTTTGCATCTTCTATGTTTCTTTACTATTTAATATCTTCTACCACGGGGGTATGTAATATAATACAGAGCTGAGTTGTGCACTGGCATATATATATACACACATATATATGATCCCGTCTTCCGCCCGCAAGGTCCCCCCCCCCGAATCGGATGGGTCTCCAGGTAGCACCCCCCTTCCCTTCTATTTGCAAGCTATTGGCAGCATTTCTGAGGTCCAGCCTTGTATTTGCTAGGGTTTTGCAGCGATTCTGACTACCAGCCTCCCATTTACTACCCTTTAGACGACCTACGTAGCACACATACTCCCTCAAAGTACCTACGTGCTACCTATAGTCATATATACATGTGCTATGTATCTACTTATATATATATACATACATGTTAGAGATACATATATATATATATATTCATATTCGTATTGAAATATACATATATATATACATACATGTAGGTGTACATATATATATATATACACATAACATACATACATACATACATACATACATACATACATACATACATACATACATACATACATACATACATACATACATACATACATACATACATACATACATACATACATACATACATACATACATACATACATACATACATACATACATACATACATACATACATACATACATACATACATACATACATACATACATACATACATACATACATACATACATACATACATACATACATACATACATACATACATACATACATACATACATACATACATACATACATACATACATACATACATACATACATACATACATACATACATACATACATACATACATACATACATACATACATACATACATACATACATACATACATATATACATACATATATATATACATGTATATATATACATGTGTATATATATATACACATACATGTTTACATAATATATACAGTATATATATACGCAGTACCACACCCCCACCACACCACGGGGGGGGGCGGGGAATATAGCTCCTGTATATCCATACCCATTCCTACTACTAACTACTACTCACTACTACTCACTACTACTCACTACTACTCACTACTACTCACTACTAGTAACTACTAGTAACTACTAGTAACTACTAGTAACTACTAGTAACTACTACTAACTACTACTAACTACTACTAACTACTACTAACTACTACTAACTACTACTAACTACTACTAGCTACTACTAACTACTACTAACTACTACTAACTACTACTAACTACTACTCACTACTACTAACTACTACTCACTACTCACTACGACTAACTACTACGACTAACTACTACTACTACTACTACTACTACTACTACTAACCCCCACCCACCCACAGGGGGGGCGGGGAACATAGCTCCTGTATACCCATACCCATTGGGGGGGGGGACCTGGGAGGCTGCATCATATATTATATATATAAATATGTGAATGTCTGTGTTTATAAATATACACATTGTATTGTCACATGACTTACATAGCAACAGTCTGCCGAGTCGATGGCACTGTCGTAGGCCAGCTTTGGTTGGCTTGACATCATCCTGTTCACTCCCAGCCTCCCAGTTGTTTAGGACATTGATACAACAACTGAAGTGGGATTGAACTGGATTTTGATGATTTGTGGTCATAAGATGACTCATGCGTGGATGCGGCCCCTTGGCTCAGATGTTATTTATTTTCCAGATGTAGAGAGTAGAGAGTGAACATATTTTAGCTCATGGATTTGAGCATTCATGTCCAAGCGAGTGGCATGACCGCAGCTTTCGCTTTGTGCCACTGGGCAGCGATAAGTTCAAGCCTGGTGAGTCTTCTGGGTGCCCGGACAGCCCGGACAGCCAAGGTCTTGATGTACTTCCTCACCAGATCACTGCCATGGCACATGTCACCTCGATCTTGCAGATGCTTGGCGGCACTGGGCATCCATTGAATCTCCAGAATGGTCGAAGGGTCGAAGCAAAAGGTGATCCACTCTTCGGACAAAAACGGACTTGACATGACTTGACTGGCAGGAAGCTCCTCACTTTTGTTCGGAAGATCATTTACAGCTGGATTTCCGTTGCCATTCCTCCAAAAAGTGCCGCTAGGATGTGCATCTCCTATATGGAATCACGGCCAGCGCAGGCAGGATCCATCGCTGGCACAGGTAGAAGCTGAAGATGGATATGAAATGATATGAATGAAGCTTAATGAACTCTATCTGAAGTGCAAGATTTGAATTCTGAGATGTGAGTGAAATGTATGTGACAGATAATATCTGAATATATCTGATAGATATCTGATAGATATCTGATAGATATCTGATATATCGGCTTTCCACCTCCACTTCCTCCACTTCGGAACGTCTCCCAGTGAAATGATCCTGACATCCAAGTGTCGTTTTGCCATTTTGGAGGGCTTAAATTGGTTAAGCATTGCAGCATCCATGTAGACAGAGGCGACCCCAAGTGAACAACAGGTAAATGACCCTGTTCGAAACGAAGCCCATCCATTTTCAACGAAAGATGATGCTTGTGGAGCAAACTAAGAACATCAAAGAATCGTCAGCATATAATCAGCATATATGATATTATGATGTATAATATAATGCTATGATACACGGACACATATAATATATATATACATACATATATACATATATACATATACACATATATATATACATATACATATACATATATATACATATACATATACATATATATATATACATCTATACATATATATATATACATATATACACATCTATATACATATATACATATATATACATATATATACATATATATATATATACATATATATATATATACATACATATATATATATACATATATATATATATACATACATATATATATATATACATACATATATACACATCTATATACATATATACATATATACATATATGCATATATACATATATACATATATACATAAATACATATATACATATATACATATACACATATACATATATACATATTTATATATATATATACATACGCGCATATATATGTTGTAATGAGTTGTTTATATCATTTAGTATCTGTCCTCAAAGTGGTATTTGGCAGGTCGAAGCTCAGAAGGAGTTGAAGGCACACATGGATCGAGCGCCTTGGGAGCCAAATAGCTAGGTGCTGAAAATCGGGGATACTACCGGCGATACTCACAACAAATTGTATATTTGATAGGAACATGATGGAACATGATCATCAATGATGTCATAAACCATGAACTTTGGGTTCCTATTCTCAGACCCAAATTTGAAGCGACCAGGGTGGTACTGTATTTGCCTTTGGGAGTTGGCAATGGTGGGAGGTGAAGAGGGACGGAAGCAATACACATGGAGGTAAAGCTTGGCAGCCAAAGATTGGGAAGGCGGTCCCAAACTTAGGTTGTATTCCTTCCCCTCAACAACGGGATTCCTGGGCCCCCAAACTTTTCAGTCGTTTGGGTCCCAGAATTTTCGGAACCACTCCCTTTGTATGGGTGAACAAATCGATCATGATCAGCTGGCCATGAAAATTCATTTGTTGGTCTCTTCAGGTGAGTTTCATTCAGAAGAAAATCCTCCGGAAGACGCTTGGCAGATACTGGAACAATATGCAGCGGATTTTTTTTGTGTTCGCCGTGTCTATGCTACTTTGATGACTCTTATCAAAGACTAGAAACTCTTCAATTTCCCTTTTGTTGTCGCTGGTGACAGGAAGCGAAACTCCGTTGTTTCACAGGCCTGACTGGGACTACTCCAAACGGGATGTCACTTTTCAAAAAAGACGAATTTTTGAATATCGTCGATCCAGAAAATGGGTCTTGATACGTATAAATTATATTAGAATCATTTGCGATCTCAGAAATTATGAATCCAAAGTTATAAACGGATATAGATTGATGAAATCCCATGCCATGTGATGATCTATACATCCCATTCATATTTTTTTGGAATCCCTTCAACCACCAACACCCTTTCGACAGGGACGAGCTGTGCGACCGCTCCCGGCCATCCTCGGAAGCGAGAATGAGAACGGATCGGAACGAGAGGTCGTTGCTGGGGGAATCCCTGGGATCCTGGTCGTGGCTGGAAAATCCAAAAATAGATGGAGGTTTCAATGGGACAACATGGGAACATCACCAACATCACCTATAAATGGGGGAGGATTTGTTTGATTGGTTGGGGAATCCCTTCCTCCGTCCATATTAAACAACCCCCCCCAGAAACTGTGATGGATGTAGGGGATGAAATCACATTATTGGGAGCATCCAATGGGGCTGTTGAACATTAGGATGGGAGTAATGGGCTTTAGGAAAGCCTTGAAAAACAAAATCGATAAGTTGGTGAAAGCATGTGAAGCCTCCATTTTCTTGTTTAATAGTGGTGTTAATTCAAGATTTTCTGCATAGTTTCACGTGATATTTCTGGAAGCATCAAAAAAGGGAAGAGTTTAATCCAAGAACATCTATGGTGATCTAGCCATAAACATCTGGGTAACCTTGGTGAATGGTAGTTTGATTCTTTCATAATCTCTTGCCATAGCATACTTTGCAAAGACAATGCAAAGAATTTAAATTTCTCCATCAGCATTTAGATTTTCGAGAATAGGTCCAAATTAGCAGTGGTTTTACCACCCAACTCTATTGCCATTTGACTGGGGAACATGATTCTCAAGAATGGGATGGAGTGGCTATTGAGTAGCCGCTTTTAGGCCATGTTCAGAATGGGTCCAAAAAGACCTCTGCGGAGATCTTGGATGAATCCGGCTGCGTACCATCCCCATTGGGTCATTTTGTCTCATAATTGCTTTGTGGATGGAGGTTTCGGTTATTTGATGATCGGAATGTCCAGCAAGTTAAATAATGTTTATATATAATTTTATAATATAATGTACTTAAATATTCATATATATATATATATGAATGTATTATATACATTATTAATTATAATGATTACAGATCTGAACGCTGAAGTCCTTGAGTTGATTCAAACGACTTCCTTCCTTCCGAAGTGCTGGCTTCTCAAGCGAGCAGATTTTGCTCCTCCCGACTGGACAGCAGTTTTACCACTAACGAGACTGAGATCATATGATTTGATCTGGACCATAGCAGTGAAGTATCCTATTTTTAGGTACCGAATTTAGACAGTTGGTTCCAGTGATTTGCTGTTCAGCTGGCTTCAGGCCGATGGGAGCCAAGACTCATTTTCCAAGGACGGGTGGCCACCTGACACCGGGGTCAGCACTACACTTCAATGATCAGTGCTTAAATTTTGCTGGTGTCATTTTTCAGGGCAATTGTTTCTAGTCTAAAACATTTGAAAACTTTATATATATATATATTCCACTTTATATATATTCCACTTAAATAAGTCGGGAAACAAATTGGGCAAACTTATCTCTCGCTACTGGCTCGACCACACTGCCAGGAGCAGAGACAGATGGGAGAGGAGACGCCTGCAGGTTGCCTGGCAACTTTTTTGAGGGTGAACTACTACTTGGGTGTGCAGTTGGAGCTATCTTCATGGGCAGAACATGGTATAACCATCGTAACAAGCGCCATCAGTTGGGATACACACCCCACAGTTATGGCCCTCCTCCTTCACCTCCTCCCCCTCCGCCTCTTTGTTGTCTTGATCTCCTCTGCCAGCTCCGGATGCACCTGTGCACGCCTGTACCTGACCACCACATCGCCAGCTCTGGATGCTGTGGGAACGGGCGAGGTTCGGATGCTGTGGGCCACGCCTGGACCTGAACTCCATATCGCCAGCTCCGGATGCTGTGGGCCACGCCTGGACCTGAACTCCATATCGATGTGGGCCACGCCTGGACCCGAACATATGCCAAAGAGAATGCCAGACACAATGCCAGAAAGACTGCCAGATAGAATGTCAGAATTTATGACAGATGCCAGATAGAGAATGTCAGAATAGATGCCAGAAAGAATGTCAATATAAAATCTATGCCAGATAGAATGCCGCATAAAATGCCAGAATAGATGCCAGAGAATACGTCGCAGTAAATGCCAGAAAGAATGTCAGATAGAATGTCAGAATATATGCCAGAAAGAATGTCGGATAGAATGTCAAAATACATATGCCATATATACTTCCAGATGATATGTCAGAAGCTATGTCATGTCAGAATAGTGTGTCAAGATGGGGATCACTCGGACTAAAGGAATTTTGGAACATTTGGGAGCACGTCCATTTGCCATTATAGATTACAACAGATACCACGGGTTAGTGGTTGGGCCGTGAAACGTGCCAACCCCCACACTTGCAATACATTAACCGATGACAAGGGGGAACAGAACTCTGCAAATCGGGCGGCCGAAGATAGGGTTTAACCAAAGTGGGGTGCAACAATTGTTTGAACATTTTTTTGTTTTGCAATTGTCTGGGCCCCTCAGAATCAAGAGGATCAACAAGGCTTTCCCTGCTTGACTTTGAATATTTTGAACCAACCTTGGAAGTGGAAAGAGTCTATCATTTTCCACTTCCACCATTGCAGTATAGGATGATTGAGAAGGGCGTACCGGGCAGACGCTAGGCGTTCATTCCTGGTCAGGTGAACATTCAGATGACGATCAGACAAGACCAATCATACGGACTGGCAAGAAATCACAGGCGGGTTTGCCCTCAAGCAACTCTGGCAGCCTCAAATGGATTGAGGTTTTTCACGTGACACATGGCCCTCACCATTGAATGTGTAGCTTTGCCATAGGCAGCGCTCTTGGGAGACAGTGAGGTTGGGTAACCTGTGCTACGAGCCCCTAGACGTGTCTGATTTTTCAGGACATGCCTGACCGAAAATAAATTTGAAAGGCTGAAGGTAGCAACCAGCATAGTTCGCAAGGTTGTGTTCTACCAGATTTCTTTTGAACCTAAGTTAAACCACTCCAGACCCTGGAACGGTCTTTGTGCCAGGCCGTTTCTGGTGCGAACCGGCCGCATTTTGATGAACCCGAACTCTTTAATGGTGCCATTGGCAGCAACTAGATTTGGAGCTTTCAACTTACAAGGGTCGAACCCCCATGGATGTGCTGACTTTTTGTCACAAGGTGAACCAACTCCAGGACGAGATTCTCAGGACACTTGGGGAAACTTGAGACAACATGGGATTCCCAAGTTTTATCTGCATGAGGTGAAATGAAGCTGTACATGTCGGGAGTTATCGTTTGCTTGTTGCTTTCTCGGCAATTCCCTGCATTCCCCGCAGTTTGATTTCACTGTAGTTTGTAGCGGGAATGGCTACAAATCAAACAGATTCAAATAGCACTTGGTGGGAAAAGAAGGTTGTAAATACTTCCGGCAATCAAACGGGGCGCGTGCAGATCCATTGATGTTCCCCTGAACAGGCAAATTGTGTACAGAAGGGATCAGACCCATTCTCATGATATATTTAATTGCCTGCGGCAAGCCCGCCAGCCATAGAGAGGTGGCCCCAACAAACTATGTTGGGCCTGTATTGGGCCATGTTGAGCCCAAGTTTGGCAACTTAGGAAAGGGCCTCCCCTTGCGAAGCCAAGGCTTAATAGCTATTGCAATTGCTTCCGGTTAATGCGTGCACACAAAAAACGCCTCGACACCTTCGGTGCGGGAGGGCTTGGGGAAGAAGGAAGGAGTGGGAGCGGGAGTAGGAGTAGGAGTAGTACTCGTGGGGGTAGTACTCGTGGGAGTAGTACTTAGTAGTTAGTAGTCAGTAGTTAGTAGTAGTAAGTAATCCCCTAACAGTGAGCAGTCAGCAGTTAGCAGCTGGTAGTTTAGAGTAGTTGTGGTAAGTAGCAAGTAATAAGGAGTAAGCAGTAAGCAGTGAGCAGCTAGCACTTAGCAGCTAGTAGTTAGTACTTAGTAGTAGAAAGTAGTAGTGGTAAGTAGTAAGTAGTAAGCAGAAAGTAGTAAGCAATATGAAGCAGCAAGCACGTAACAGTTAGTAGTTAGTAGTTGGACCACAGCTTATAGACGGCCGTGGGGTTTCGACCATTTTTTGTTTTTGGGGTGGGGGGTCGGGGGTTGGGGTGGGGTGGAGCAATGACGTCCTTCCTACATGTTCCTGTCACGCTACCCTAGAAGATCTTTTCTTGCAGTTGCATGCAGATCACGCTACCCTAGAAGATCTCCTCTTGCACTTGCACACAAAGGTAGAATATTTTCTTTTGCACTTGCACACTCAGGTCACGCTACGCTAGAAGATCTTCTCTTGCACTTGTACGCAGGTCACGCTACGCTAGAAGATATTGTCTTGCACTTGCACACGCAGATCACGCTACGCTAGAAGATCTTCTCTTGCACTTGCACGCAGGTCACGCTACGCTAGAAGATATTGTCTTGCACTCGCACACGCGGATCACGCTACCCTAGAATATGTTCTTTTGCACTTGCACACGCAGATCAAGCTACGCTAGAAGATTTTCTCTTGCACTTGCACACGCGAACCACGCTACAGTAGAAGATTTTCTTTTGCACTTGCACACGAAGATCACGCTACGCTAGAAGATCTTCTCTTGCACTTGCACACGCGCACCACGCTGCGGTAGAAGATCTTCTCTTGCACTTACTTGCAGATCGCGCTACCCTATATATAGAAGATCTTCTCTTGCACTCGCACACGCAGATCACGCTACGCTGGAAGATCTTCTCTTGCTCTTGCACACGCACATCACGCTACTCTAGAAGATCTTCTCTTGCGCTTGCGCACGCAGATCGCGTTTATAGAAGATCTCTTCTTGCACTTGCACACGCACATCACGCTTCCTGCAAAAAAAGAAACAGTTTCCGGCAATTGAGAAGCAATAAAAACAATGCTTGCCCCAAAAGCAGGAAGGTGTGAAGCTGCTGTCTCCAGTGGCAGGGATGTGTCATTTGACAAAATCGGCAGATCAAAGAAAAAGAAGGCAGCTCAGTAGTCAGTAGTCAGTAGTGAGGAGTTAATCAGTAGTTAGTAGGTAGTAGGTAGTAGTTAGTAGTAGTTAGTAGTTAGTAGCTAGTACTTAGTAGGTAGTAGGTAGTAGTTAGTAGTTAGTACTTAATAGGTAGTAGGTAGTGGGTAGTGGGTAGAGGGAAGTGGGTAGTGGGAAGTGGCAAGTGGGAAGTGGGTAGTGGGAAGTGGGTAGTGGATGTTATTATTTAGTATTTAGTACTTAGTCGTAAGTAGTAAGTAGTTAGTTGCTAGTAGTCAGCAGTCAGCAGTTCGCAGTTAGGAGTTTGCAGTAGCAGTTCGCAGTTAGCAGTCAGCAGTTAGCAGGTAGCAGTTAGCAGTTAGCAGCCAGCAGCTAGCAGTTAGCAGTTCGTAGGTAGTAGGTAGTATAGGTGGTGTAGGTAGTATAAGTATAGGTAATATAGGTAGTAAAGGTTACCATCGGCGTTGGCCTCTTTATTTGGGCCTTTCTGTTTTCTGGTGTTTGGACCCAGGAACTATTTGCAGATTCCCAGGAACTATTTGCAAAGTTCCAGGAACTATTTTAAAAAACATGCGTTATATTGAGGGGAGTTAGCGAGGGAAATATGACGATGAGTTAGCACAGGCGAGCTAAAGGGAAAACAGCAACACAACACTAAAATGCCCTTAAGTGCTGAGTCTAACTGATTTCAGCTTACCAGTGCGTCCCTATTGTGGGTATATGGAAATGACAGTACTCATGAGTTATGGTATGGGATACGTGCATCCATAACATGCCAACATGTTGCCTTGCTAAACTTGGGAATCTCGTGTGGAAACAAGCGCCTCGGGCATAAAAATACCTCTTTGATTTGATAAATCAATCGGCCAATCATATCAAGAGCCATGTCAAATATACCAGAACCAAAAAAATATGGTTCAATGAGCCAACGAAGAAAAAACAGTACCAGCCGGTTTTGGTGTATCATTCAGCGGAAAAGATGCAAAACGCAATAAAATCATTTCCAGCCTTACTGAGCCATGGAAACCAATCAGGCCAAAAAAGAAAAAACAATTCACCCCCGGGCCGCCCAGAAGAAAACGCGGTGAATCAAAGTTCGCAGGAGCAAAAGCCACAGCGCACCCAGCCCAAGCTAACGCGTTGGACAAACTTCACCAGCACCAGCACCACCAGCACCACCGCCACCACCAGCAGTTCCAGAAAGGAAAGCACGCCCCAAAGTGTAGGCCCAAGCGCAAAAAACCACCACCCGTGCCAAAAAGCCAAGCAAACCCCAATCTGAGACCCAAAACAAACAGCGTTCCGTGTCCTGGGGAATGTAGCTAGTTTTACGGTATGTCGACTGCAACTGAATGTACTGTATATAATTTGTTTTCAGTTTTATGTCATGAGCCTTGTCATGAATCAAGTCAGTTCAAGTTCCAAAGATTATGATACCCTATCGTATCCCATCTCACAATCCTAGGCAGCAGCGTACCAAAAGGGCGGCCATGCAAATGGTGAACTTGATTGAAGGCTGTGGTGGTGCTGGCAAAGGAACCTAATATGTCCTCCAGCCACTCTCGTACCACAAATTGCGTCATTCGTCATGTCCGTGAGACTTTTGACAGTTTACTGACTGTTTGCCTCTGTTTAAATGCAACTCCGCGGCGCGAAGTTGAATTATGTTGAACTCAGTAAATGTCAGTACTCAATATAGTTCACATGATCAGAGGATCCATAGTTGAGATGCCAAGGGTTCACACATCGCAAAAAATGAGCCAACATTGAATGAAAATTTTCGGGTGAGTCCAACATGTGAACAGTAGCATCAGGGTCAGCGTGAGTGACCATGTCGTATTGTAAAAAGGAAAAGCAGAAATCAGAATGGTCAAGACTCCACTGTTTCTCTGGTTAGCAAAATGAGCGACAAACTGGCGACCTTCCCAAGACACGCAATGATCTAACTGCGGTGGAGCATACAAGGTCTCAAAACCGAAGCGCGGCATACCTGCTGATAGTTTGCAAGGACCTGACTGTGACTACGCATCATCACCTGGATGCGATTGTCTGTTGGACGAGTTTTTTTTTTTCGCAGGCCTTTCCTGACAAGGACACCATATCTTGTAGCTTGTGAGATTCCAGGTATAGAGAGGCCACAACCATCACCCGATTCTGGCTGTAAGATGCTGTAAGTTCGAGGCAGCCCCTGAAATCGAAAATTTCGTTTTTGCAACCTAAGACTTCGGTATCTGGTACCTCGTCGGACCATGGCCGCCAGAACTTTCTCGGTGACAGGTTTTCCGGACTTTGAGGTTTCGGATTGCCGGGAAGGGTGTCGTCGCCCTTTCGGCGACAGGTTTTTTGGAGTTTCTATTCGCTATGGATGGCAAAATTCCAGGAACTATTTATAAGTTCCAGGAACTATTTATAAAATTCCAGGAACTATTTATAAAATTCCAGGAGCTATTTGTAAAATCTCAGGAACTATTTGTAGATCATCTTAGCGGACCCCAGCCCAAGAAAGGATATCTGCAAGCATTCCACCGTCGCTGCTAGAGCAACTTTGTCAAGTACTGCCGGGACAAGTTCGGGTCGACCGTTTGACTAGAAAACCCAACTTTCGGACACCGAACCGGAAATCATGAACCTTTTGCAGACTGAGGGATTTTGGACATTCTTTGGTCGTTTCTCAGCAGATATTGATTGCATAATCTACTAAAAATACCAAAAAAAGGTAGACTGACCACTGACCAACAGACAAACCTGACAGAAGGCCGATTGGGTTTGAAGATCATTTTTTTGATTTGTGTTCAGTTCACACGCAGGTTCACCAAAAATTGTGAATGAGTAATAGGTCCACATATCATATCCTGGATCTCGTTTTTTCTGGGCTAAGCTGGGTTAGTTCTTGGTTTTGATTTCTGATTTTGGATTTAGAAACAGTTGGGAAGGCAGCAAAGATTAACAATAGATCGACACCGTTCCAAACCGTTCTGAGCTGTTTATTCTTTTTGTACTTTACAGGGTTAATAAATAGATCGGAACCGTTCCGAACCGTTCTGATCTATTATATCTCTGTGCAGTTTACGGGTGTTAAAAATAGATCGGAACCGTTCCGAACCGTTCTGATCTATTTCTACGTACAGGGTTTATAAATAGTTCGGAACCGTTCCGAACCGTTCTGATCTATTTATACGTACAGGGTTTA